CAGGGAGGAAGACGACGCGGCGAGACTCTACGAGCCAGCTTGGCTCCATCTGGTACAGCCCGAGTTCATTCTGTATTTATTTTGTCCAGTAAAGTTATTCTCCCCGTAACAATATCCACGACATGATTATAATGGACGTATAATGAACAGCTCCGGAAATTTCGTTCTCTTACGTGCACTGACAACGCACAATGCACAGCCTCTCGTATATCACCTCCATCGAAATGCGACCGCCGCGGCCGGGATCGATTTAACGTCTTTCGGATAAGCAGACGAGCACCACAACCACTGCTTCACTGCGGCGGACGACGTGAGGAAAGAGACATATGAACTAGTTTTGTTATATAAGGTGCTTAAAATTTATGTATACTCTTGGGTGTTGGAAGAACAAGGACATAAGACTAAGCGACCAACTGAAAAAAAAACTCCCAAGCATTTCCCCGAGGGTGAACATGGTTAAGTGCGAATACACGGGGTGATGCTACGAGGGGTATTTATTAATTCGCACTATTATGTTTATTAATCGCACTATGGTGCCTTTATGGTGGAATGGTTCCTGGGAATCGCAATTTGATCACACGGGGGAGTTTACGTTAACTCATTGGCGAATGCCAACGGATTTTAACTTTACTCCCCCTCACGACCCGCTCTCGACGGGAGACTGAGAGAGAAGGCGGGCGCGCGAGAGAGAGGGGTGCGCGCGCAGCTGCAGCGAGCGAGGAGAGCGGAGGAGCGAGCGAAGGGGGAGGGGCTATAAGGCGCGTTACTGACACCGATATCAGCGTCGCGTCCGTGGCTTATTCGGTAGAGCGTCGCGCTGCGGCCCGCCAAATCCTCTTTCTTTTAAAGATATAGAGAAGACTGCGGACGCCGCCGACGGCGGTGGATGGTTTTGGGTCGCTTATAAAGTGTATTCACACTTAAAAAACAAATAACAGCATATTCACGGAGTAAATGATAAGTGCGGCGAAGCATCCGTGCGTCTGTCCTTCCGTTTGTCCACTCCTATCACACTAGAGCACGCATCGGGTCGACGGACGCTTCGCTCAACTCATCATCATTCACTCCGTGGATGTGCTGGCTACGCAGGACGGAAGGACGACCGAACACGTGATGCTATAAAGAGCTTCGCCCCTAAAAAAAATTGGCATATCCCACGTACAGTGGGAATCCATGGTATGCGAAGCACGAATGAGGAAGGTTGATATGCCGCTCTCAAATCGCCACAACGTTACGAGGTGGAGGTAAATTATGCCGTACACGACTTCCGTGTCATGATTATTATGTTTGGATGTGTCGTTTACCTTCGTCATCTATTCACGTCACGTGATGCTAAATTTAGTATATGTGGAGCTAGCGAAGCGGTCGCGAGCACGCTGTGAGCATGGTGTGTTGCCATGTTCTTACATGACACGCGTCTCATGATGATCATGTTTGCACCAGTCACATACCTTCCTCATCCATTGACGTCAGGTAACACCAAATTTGGTATATGCCGAGCTAGCGAAACGGCCTGGAGTGCATCACGAAGGGCCCAATATACTCCAACGTAACGTTGACGCGCACGCACGCTGGGCACAGCGACGCTACGTTAGCAAAACATGAGCACTCTATAGTCTGACGCAAAGCGCGACAGGCGCGAACAGCGTCCGTCGGCGCGACCCGACGGCAACCGGCGCGAAATGCTGCACTTCGCGCCAATTCGTTACCCATACAGCACTGCGTCTGCCTCTTTTTCGAGACAGAGGGACGCCAGACGCGCATGCGTCAAAGCAACGCAGCGCGTGCCTGCCAGTATATGGCAGCACCGGCGCCTGGCGTGGCACCGCCGGTGTGACACGACGAAACGAACGCCGGCGCGCACGCGCGCCGGGTCACGTTGAAGTGTATTGGTGCCTTGACTGTGGCATATAGTCATGTTCTCACATGACACGCATCACATGAATATCATGTTTGAAGCAGTCACATACCTTCGTCATCCATTGACGTCACGTAATATTAAATTTGGCATACGTGAAGCTAGCTAAACAGCCGCGAGCGCATCAGGAGTGTGGCATGCAGTCATGTTGTTAATGACACGCATGTCACGATTATAATGTTTGGATGTGTCATTCACCTATGTCGTCCGTTCGCGCCGCGTAATACCGTGTTTGGTACATGTCAAGCTAGCGAAACGACCGCGAGCGCATCATGAGCGTGGCATGTATTCATGTTGTTACATGACATGCATGTCATGATTCTCATGTTAGGGTCTGTTGCTTGAGTTAGCCATGCAATCATACAATACCAATTTTACAGCATGTCATGTGAAGGAAACCACTGCAAGAGCAGGAAGACTGCAAAATTAAATCGTGACATTCATAACATGCATTTCTGTCATGTTACGCCATACCAAGTTTGGTATCAGTACAATTATCCAAACGGCCAGGAGAGCTAAAAGTCGTAGGCAGCTAGATAGATAGATACGCTCAAAGTCGCCGAAGTTCGCCAAGAAATGCTTCGCATTTAAGAGAGCATGAGATAAAACAGAATAACTGATTTAGGCCACTTGCATATATATATATATATATATATATATATATATTGTGTGTTGTGTGTGTGTGTGTGTGTGTGTGTGTGTGTGGTGTGTGTGTGTGTGTGTGTGGTGTGTGGTGTGTGTGTGTGTGTGTGTGTGTGTGTGTGTGTGTGTGTGTGTGTGTGTGTGTGTGGTGTGTGTGTGTGTGTGTGTGTGTGTGTGTGTGTGTGGTGTGTGTGTGTGGTGTGTGTGTGTGTGTGTGTGTGTGTGTGTGTGTGTGTGGTGTGTGTGTGTTGGTGTGTGTGTGTGTGTGTGTGTGTGTGTGTGTGTGTGTGTGTGTGTGTGTGTGTGTGTGTGTGTGTGTGTGTGTGTGTGTGTGTGTGTGTGTGTGTGTGTGTGTGTGTGTGTGTGTGTGGTGTGTGTGGTGTGTGTGTGTGTGTGTCAAGCTTCTAAACGCAGTTGCCATGCCCAGGTATGGACTCCGTGTCCTTGAGACCAGCACAGCAATGCCTCAGTTACTGTGATGTTCTGGTCACGCATATGAATTCTGTGAGCTTAATAATGAATATTTCATTCGTGACAGAGATCAATCTGCTTATATTGTTGTTTTGAAATGAAGGTTTTGAAGCTAAAACTTTACTGTTTTGCTTATAAAGGGAAAGAAGGGAACTGAGAGAAGCCAACGCTAGCCGCACAAGAAACTTGAAGAAAACGAGGCCACGTGTGAACGAAATGATCAGGTGGTATCCTGAAGGCTACAGTGAAACATCAAGATGAAATTAAAAGCCTTGTATCACATAGGGGCCTTGCTCTCGCTCATATGGCCACGTTGAAAACAAGGATTATGTCTGTCGCTGGCACCTGAAAACAACGGAAAGTACTCTAGCAATAAGAAAATAAGAAAGAGGTACTGTGAACATTTCCACTTTCATCCGCTGCGGTGTCACTGACTCCGATTTCCAGTAGAGATTCCACACTGTGCCGCCCCTGATGTTTACTGATGATGAAACACATTTTTTTTTTCAACGCATAGATTCGGGCTTCTCACTTAGTTAAAACGGTCACTAATCAGAAAAACGATTTCTCGCTTTTTAGTAAGTTACAATTTCACAATGCCGAAAACACCACTCCTGCTGGACAGCACTTGGTATAAACAAAAGAACGCAAAAAGTAAAGGCCCGTGGCGACGCCTTTTCGGTATTATCGCACCAAACGCCGTCACATCATAGATTTCAACGTGGAACAATCCACGAGTCCAAACTGGTTCATATGTTTAACTATGATGTCCCTTAAAGTAACCGTGCTCATCGTTATCAGCAGATTTTGTACCCACCACCTTATTGTCCGTAAGCTAGCAAATTCGCTAGTTTACAGACAGAAAGAGATAGATAGATAGATAGATAGATAGATAGATAGATAGATAGATAGATAGATAGATAGATAGATAGATAGATAGATGATAGATAGATAGGCAAAAGGACAAATGGCATACCATTCACATTGAACTGCTCTCAAATGGACCGCATCACCGACATACTTTTAAGGACGCATTTGTGAGACGCTTGTTGAGTTCATCTGCTTGCCATGAAGTGCATCTAGTCAAGTGGCGGGGATCGCAAATGAGCAGCTTGCGTGTATAGTGAAGTGCTCCTCGCATTTTCTCCACCCAGGCGGTCGATTCATGGGGCAATTAGTTGGCAACTCGGCAGCGAGGACGTCCCCCCCCCCCCCCTTTATTGCTTTTTGAATATTTCAAAAGTCACTGTCATAGTGCTCGCGTAAGAAAAAGCGGAATAATGAAAGTTCCCAGACAGCTATATATAATCTGACACATAGTTTGAATAAATTTTGCTAATTTATTTTAAATTAATACATATATATAAATATATATAGATACTCATATAAAATTAATATATTTATGTAAAATATATAACTTGCCGTGGGCTGCCCATGGCAAGTTATCTTTTCACTCACTTTTCTTTCTTCAGAGTCACATTACAACTTGGTCTAATAACTTCCCCTATACTTTTCTTAGCATTATTGTCTGTTAGATTGTTAGATCTCATTAATATTGTGTCTAACGTGGAAAATCGAGCCTAAAAATATAAACTTCTTTATATTATATATATATATATATATATATATATATATATATATATATATATATATATATATATATATATATATATATATATATATATATATATAAAGAATTGTATACTATGTATATATACACACACACAAATGCAAGATGTATAAATCTTCATGATTAAAAAGCCTTTCCACCATTAAAAAAAGAAGTCTGCGTTTTCTATAAACAAAACTGTCCCATATATCACGTAAAGGATACTCCAAAAATTAATGTTTTTACAAGTGCAGTGTGTCTAAAATGCATGGTGACGAACGACCGCTGTACTGGGACAAAAGTCCTCAAATAAAATCCTACAAGACTTTCCTTGAAGGACATCAAAGAGAGAAAGTGTGTAACAAAGCCATCCACAATCAGATGAATAGAGTTTATGTACATATGTGGAAACAATTTCTTCTAGTTGATGCTGTCAATGTCGTAGTCCTGAGACTGGCATGAAGCATTCGTGACATCCATGTCCAGTGCAGAGCTTTGTGGGCTGTCACTGGAGGTGTACTCGGGCAACACGTCGGGCACGCCTGTCGAAATGAAGTAGCACATCAAACAGAAAACAAAAAGAAACTTTGAGAATCCCTGCAGCAAAGACAGCTTATGCAAGGGCAAGTTTCGGCAATGCTCCTCTCCACCTTTCATATGGTGCACACACTTCATCCGACTTGGCGTGGCGGTTTGGGATAGTTGGTAGGACATGATAATTGTTATAGCACGTGTTCAGAATGATGACAAAGGGACAAGACGCCAAGTGTTAACTTCCAACTGAGTTTACTGTGCAGAGCATGAAAACATATAAAGGAGACAATAAACAAAGTGACAAAAATGAGCAATGCAAAGAAGAGCAAGAAAAAAAGCAAGAAAAAAAAGCAAGAAAATAAAAAACGACAAAGATTAAGAAAAAAATCTAAGGATAAAATACAGAAAACTATAAGAGCTAGTTACTCTTTGTGTGCGCCGATACTTTTGAGGAACTTTAATTCTTTCTTGGACAGAGATACGAAAGGCTTGCTAAAGCATGAAGCCTGTTCGCGTACCATCTGCGTAGCGTCGACGATGATTCTGGCGCGATGATCTCTGTGCTTATACAGCGTCACTGTGTCCTCGAAAAGGGGCCCACAGTTGCACGCAGTGCAGTGTTGTGGAAGAAAGCCATCTTTTTCGTTTATGACATTGTTAGCATGTTCCTTAAGTCGATTGTTCAGAGGCCTTCCGGTCAGTTGGAAGTTAGCGCTCGTCTTCAAGTCCATTCGTCGTCGTTCTGAGCTTGCGCTATAGCAATCATCATGTTCCTCCGAGCCCATAGATGGGAACAGAAAGGATTCCCATATGTTGTTGCACTGCCACAACTCAGGCGCACTATACAACGTGTTTCTTGAAATATGATCAGAAATCAACAAAAACAAGGGAAATGCCATATGTACTTGCTGCCTACATAATTACTTTTTTTATAGTGGTGCACATTTAAAGCCCAGAGCACAGATGTGCCCCATGCTTGCTGGAGAGTCATCAACAGAGACCGGAATCCAGACAAGTGCCTATTTCGTTTCCTGCGCTCATATCGCAAGATTCATATATGCTCATATCGTATACGAGCATAAGTTAGACGCTAAGAAGGGCAGTGTTTTTATAGAGCCGATAAATGCCTACTTAGGTGTTTCTGCCTAAATCCCTACAAAAGCCTACAAATGCCTATTTTCGAAATCGGTACCAGCATGAACACTATTTAGCCTCGCGTCTTGTTTTGGGGAGTAGTTTGAGAGTGTTATTCACTTTTACAGCCAACAGTGACTCTTCAGATCTTGACAGGTTGCAGCCTAGTGCTCTAGTTCAACCAACTCCAAGATAACCACAGGCTGCAGTGAAGTGGGATACGCCAGCTAGCACAGCCTGCCACGCGGACAGGGCCTGAGTTGGTGACTGCGAAACCACCTAGATCCATCAGGTGAAGGGAGAGTGAGGGGAAATAGAAGGAACAAAAGTGTGATGTGCCCGTGGTTTTTGTTTCGTTTGCATGAGGGAAGGAAATATTGACGGCTTGTTTTTTTGTTTGACACCACATTAACGACAAGCAGCAGATAATGATGCAAAAAAAGGTATGGGGAATGTTAATTGTACCGTTTTAGGCATATTGTAGTAATTGTGAGATGTGGATGTGAATAAAGTAACAAAAAGGCAACCTGCGGCAGGCAAGGACCAAAACCTGCTAACCTCAGATTGCGTTACTCGTGATCTTAGGAGTTACGCGGGCAGTCGTCCCCTTGTACGCATTATTGGATATGTTTGTGCGTGAAACTGGGGTGTGTTAGTCTGCACTGCTCGTAGCCATGGCGGCGCGTGTGCAACTCTTTTTTGCCAGATAGCCTCATGTAGCATATGAATCTTTAACGAGCAGATAGCTGACTACTAAACCAATAAGGTGTTCGTGGCCAGGGGAGAAATAGGCCCTACATGACTCGACCCGGCCAGTAGGAGGCATCCCTCCCGTCCGGCCTTCTCGACCATGCAAAAAAGAGACGCTTACGAGTGTGTTGATTCAATCATGGACATTTGGTTTGCCAAGCTACGGAATAAATGGAGGGACCATGCTCTGTGAACCATAAAGGACAAAGGACAACTGCAGTGCCGTATGAACTGTTAGTGCCTTTGTCATTGTAAACAATAACACTTCTTGTTTTCTTCTCACAGATGTTGACATTGCCATCCTTCGTTTCAAATTATTTAAAAAGCTAGTTGCGTTTGCCTTGTGCACAGTCGCTACAGCAGATCTACGAGCCCCTTGGTACAATCCCATGTCATTAGAAAAAAGTAGCATGGCTGTACTTTTAATGCTGGAGGTCGAAAAGGATGTTTGGCCTGCCTACTTTTTCGGCCTAAAATGTGCTTTTTTTAATGCCAGAAAACCTGGACTATCATGCAGTGTGTAATGGGAGCCTCTCACAATGTGGGCACACTCACTATATCCTTCCTCAATAAAAATATGGACTACTGAGGGGATAGATTTAAAAGTGCTAAACGCTTCAACCCCTCATTGTAAAAGGCAAATCGATATAAGAGGCACGAGTACACCCACACTGAAATTGAGTTTAACCCTTTACTGCCTAGTGTCGCAAATTCGCGACACACCGAAAAACTTCGAGCAAGCAAGTCACGAAGAGTGTGCTGCCTTTGGTGCCCCCTGTCAAATACTCGCGGAAACCATAGCTCTCACTATAAAAATCCAGCGCTGTCTTGTCTAAGATATTTGACGCTAAAACGAATTGTTTTGCAACTGATGGCGACAAGCGCGAAGCGTGTGCAGCGGCTCTCTCTTCTTTGTTGTTTCTAACCTGGGTGTAAGTTCTATCTTCAATAACTTTGTTTATTTAGCGTGTACGTACCCAAGAGATGGCTAACGACATATCACGCAGTCCTGAAGTACGTTTTTCGTGGCATGATTCTCACTTCTGCAGGTACATGGAGAATTCGTGACACGCATAAAATTATGCACTTAGGTTCCATTTTAGATACTTTAACAGTGGAATCATTTAAATGTTGCTATTTAGAGCTGGAAAGTGCAAACAATTTTTATTTCATACGGCAGTTTAATAACTAAAGCATTCAAAGGTTAACCTGCCAATAAAAACACATTTGCCAGCTAATAAACAACACCTCGTATGAGACCCAAGAAATACTTCCGGGAGCCTGTCTTTTGTAAAGTGGTTCAATATTTACTTACCTATACATTTTCAATCCTCTCCCTAAATTGCATGTGTGTGCCTACAGACATGCCTATACACACGCGCACACACACACACACACACACACACACACACACACACTCACACACACACACACACACACACAAGAAGGACCAGCACATTCATTCGCATACCTTTGCCGGGCGTTAGCACCTTCATCTGCTGCTCTATTGCTTGAGAGAGCATGGTGGTCGAGAATGCATCGTCCCTCTGCAGACCTAGAGCCTGAAAGCAACGTAAGAAACAGAAAAATGAATGTTTTCTTACGAAACTGCTTCTCTTCTACTCGACCATTCTTCACTTCTCACTTGCCACCTAAAGATAATGCCCGTTTTAATTGTGTTGAGTGCACTGATTATGAAACATATAGTGAATTTGCACTCTGTTGATTGGCACACACATTTACGGTTTGGTGCAAAGAGATGTTCGATAAAAGATATTAAACTATTTTAGTGACTCAATGCAGAATGAATACTTCTCCCCATGATGCGAGCTTCAACCCCTCGTTGTACTAGCTAACCCTTTTTGGCCTGCACTTTTCCAAATTTATTCACACTGCCCGGTTCATCGCCATCCTCAACTTTAAGATGTTTATGACAGGATAGTAAAAACTAAAAAAAATTAAATAATTGATGAAAATGTTAGGCACGTTACAAAAAGCGGTAAATAAAGAACATGTGCCAAGCATCAACTGTAAAACCCCAACACGGCGGAAATGGAACAATTCTCGGCGACAGCTTATCTTGACATTGGAGTGAAGGCTACGAAGACGAAGCTTCCGCACATTCGTGTTGCTCTGCAAGTGGTATATGGCAGCTCACAGCTGACTTCGGTATTGCTCCCTTGCATCGTTAACTGGCTTAGAAAATTGTATACATAAAAAACGTTAATGGGAAAAATATTTATATATTTCAGGGGAGAGTTTAATGTCATACTTTGAGTATATATATATTTTTTAGACAAGGAAACATCGCGTTTGCAGCCGCACATTGACCCACTACGTCACAGATGCCGTGCTTAATTTGGATAATGGGTGTGCTGAAAAGGTGGTGCCATCTTACAAACGGAAGGAAAAGAAAGGCACTCTCGCAAAGTTAACAATAACTGTATTTTACCAATGAGTTCCTACAACTGTCAGAGTCGTGTAATAAATGAATTCGTATTCATTTCAGCAAGGCCAACGAGACCATCATTACTAAAGTAAGGACTATTTTTGGGGGCGGTAGCAGGCATGCATTTTGGTTCCGTGGCTTCCGCAATGATTTCAAGAAAGGTTGTCGCTGAGCATAGAAAAAAAATATTTCTGTGCATGCTCAGATATGTGGTGCCACCCTACAATCAGTGTAACGTACATGCTTACACAAGAAAATGATTAACAATCACATTTCATCCACATACTACACGGTAAGTGAAGGCTGGAACACACACACACTCCTCCTAATAGTGACATTCCAAGTATCAACCATAGAAAGTATCTCTTACTTTCATGGCAGTATACAACTGTACAGTATCAAGTTCTGGTGCACATTGAAGATCTTTGAATTTGTGACAACAGATTAGACAGATTTATTCTAGAGAACAAGTTATAAGTCCAACTGTCTTCTTAACTTTTTCTACAATGCATTCCTACCCACATGCTCCCTTTCTGTTGCACAAAGTCTCTACTGCATATTGGCTAGGAGCACATGCAACAAATGTCTTTTTTTATGATTACAGTAGTAAGTTTCAGTAGTAAGATTACAGTAGTAAGCCTCATCTATTTACATTCAAACTGACAAATAAAAGCTGTCTGCACACAAGTATGTCGATCTCAACCGAGCAGGTAGAGTGCAGCGGTGGGAAAGATCGACTGATGCGATGCGCCAAGCAGCTGGAGGACCCCTTCCTAGGCTCGAGTAAGACTTCAAAGCAGACGAGCATTAGGCAGTTTTTCTCTGTTAAATACAATGGCAGTACGATAAACTCCAGCCGCTTAAAGTCTCTTGTATGGTATTTTTTTTCTCTTTTGAGCCTGCCCAAGAATAACGATCAGAAACTGCCACTGAAGAGCCGGTAAGTAGAGGTGATTTTTCTGAAAAGTGCTCATTTTTCCTGGCGATTAGCGCAACTTTGCTTATCTCGAAAATCCATTTATCCCGAAATTTTTCCTGGTTTCACGACTTCAAGATAGTGAGGTATTACTGTATCTGAGTTTAACTGCCGTATTTTCTCGCATATGACCTCTGCGGAATATCTAGGAAATCTGAAGCTAAGAGAGAGAGAAATAACATTTATTGATACATGCGGCGTGTAGGATGTCCCCGACCTCGCAGGGTGTGGATGTGCCCTATCTTAAGGTCACGGCTATCGGAGTCCGATAATCTCAGAGCCTCGACCTCGAGGATGTTGTGCTCCGACTAGGCGACAGCTACTCGGGTTCCTCCGCGCCCGTTAGAATGGTCGTCGGCTCCTTTTCTCCGTTGCTTCGCCAGAGCCTCCTCAAGCCGCTGGACGGCCCTAATTTGAAGCTAAAGCCCAAACCCATATTATATGCAAATTTTGGTGCGCAAAATGGCTTCATTGCACAGCCATAGTAATGCACGAAAGGAAGATTTATAGACGATTTTCTGTAGTGGCGCACGGGCACTGCCAAACATGATCATGTAACTGTAACTGGCCTTTCCCAGCCGGTCAAACCAGCCAATGCATTGGACCAACAAAGCGGCCGTTGTCATAAGCAAGGGCCGTAAGTGCCAGCAGCTGGGGTTTTTAGCTACACTTAGCTTATTTAGCTACGCCTGCTAAGCTTTTTCGCCGATAATATTAGAATGAATCTTGAAAATACTGCAAAATACCGACGAACACATTGGTCTCGGAACTACTACAGGGCGTAAGTATAAAGCAATAAATGAGTAAGTTGCGAACCTGCGGGCCACACGGCGCAGGACGACGACGCGATAAATTCAAGGCAGAAAAAAATTGCATCCACAGGCGCAGCCATGGTGACTTTCTGGCTACCGCCTGCTCGCTTTTACTCGCATGAGCGCAGGTGCTAGAGGGACGCCAAGCAGACAACGCAACGCAGATGGAGACACATTGAGCAGCACTGCTAAAGGCCACGGCATTGAGACAGCCACGGTAAAGGACGGCTGCGGAGCAGTGATGGTGCCATCTAGTTTACTAAACAATCCAGCTGCAGAAAACCGTCCATAGCAATACAAGGGTGTCTATTTTTCTATAGTCCGTAGCTGAGAAGGCAGGTTATGCACAGGGGCAGGTTATTCGCAAGAAAATATTCAATAAAATTCTAGTTTTTGCATCCCTTGTGCATGTGTGACCATGTTTCTTTCATGTGTGCGCAGTTAAAAACTGTGCATTTATGATGAGAAACCACTAGTATATCTGCAATAATTCTGTGTTATTGCATGCAAACGCAGAAATTAGCTTCACCTCTTTTGGCGTGTCAACAAGATAATATACCTTGTGAAAGTAGTCGACTGCATGAGCCCAGTCACGCATTAGACTGTGCACAAAACCGATAGCTGAAAGCGTGGAGGCATTTTTCGGAGACAGGACCAGGGCTTGCTGGTGATACTCCAGGGCTCTGTTGTACTTCCTGCATTTACAAAATCCAGAATTTATGCCATCACATATCAGTCCTGCAAGAACACCCAAGGTGGATGAAATATCAAGAAAAGTAAAATTTGCGACCAACAAATTTTGTAGCGAAAGCTACAAAGAAAATCTGGACATATTGCTCAGAGAGAAAGCCTGTAAAAATGTTTCTAGCTCCAAAATTTAAACTCGAGGACAATGCCTTTATGGGGTGGTTGCCCTACGTTTGAGTGAACCAGAAAGTTGACGCATTGCAGCACAATTGCATCGAAAAGAAGTCCATGGGCACCAAACATGGCACAGTATGCGACCTATACACACTGAATATGATGCAGTGTTCAGTTCAGGAGACCATGAGCCTGCGCACAGAGCGGGGTAGGGCACTGCTACAAAGGGGGGGGGGGGGGGGGGGGTGTAAGGTTGCTCTCGGGGTGACATCCCTTGCCCCCTTCTTTCTTAGTACAGTCGAGCCCACATATAACGACCCCACTTAAAACAAACTTTCGCTTAAAATTAACAATATCCGCGTGACCGTCAAAATATACATTGGTTCAATGGCACAAAATCGCACTTACAACGAACGTCTCCGAGCGCCACTGATCGGTTACAGCGAACGGAGTCAGCGGGCTGCCAACTTCCCGGGAAACCAATTTCGACCACCGATCAGGCATCGGCGAGGTGCCCATACATTCTTATTGTTAAACGCCGATCCTGCCTCCGCGCCCCTCTAGTTGCTGCTCTCCCCGACCGTTTTTTGTTACGCACCCCTCCGTCCTTTGTCCCCCCCGCTACTCTGAGCACCCCGCATCGCCAGACGAGGCGCGTGTTTTCACACTGCCACTGATCTTCTGGTCGGTCACGTACCCTGTTTTTGATCGCTGGTACTGTCGTTGGCGTCACCGGCCTCGAGTGACCAGACCATTTGCCAACATCGTCGGCCACCGACTGTATCCGATAGTCTGCGCCGCGTGTACGCTACCCCACCGACTCTGACAATTCGTGATTCGTTTCGTGTTTAGGACTTGTTCTCACTCACTTCGCACTCGACTCACCATGCCTTCCGCGCGCACGCGGAAGCGCGAAAATGGCTGTTAATTTGCGCGGAATGAATCGCGAAATATCGAAGTTCGTGAAGTCACGCAAACCCACCGGCGCAACAAGACGATTTTTTTAATCACGGCCGCCGATTCTTCGAACGCCGCCGCGCGCACCGAACGAGGCGGCCATGCTTTGACTTCAGCATGGCCGCCTGCTGGCAATCTTTTCAAGTTTTTCTACGTGCGAGTTTCGCGGACCTTTCAAGCAAGCTGCCCAACCTGCCTCCTTCCCGTGTGTATTGGTTTTCAAGGTCGCCCGCCCGCCGCATCCTCCCCTTTCTTTATCGCACGGAGGAAGGAATCTTTCATTCCCCCATGCTTTATCGCAACTCCTTGCCCTTCTCTCGTAAGTCTGCTCTCCTCTCTTGATCACAACCCCTTCGCCCGTCTCCACCGCTCCGTCACGCCCAACACGTTGGCTCGAGTTAGTTTCGTTTTCCGACACGAAACGCGCCCAGAGCTGTTCTACGCGCGTGCGCGTCTTGCTCACTCTTGGTGTGTGCGTGTGTGGTCATGATGGCCGACGGGAGGACTAGCACGCTTTTTCGTGCCGCTCAACAAAACTTCAAAAGTGTGACCACTTGTCTTGAGCGTAATCCGCCTGTTAGGTGCCGCGTTGCAGAGCGCTTGCTCATAGCTGTTGACCACCTGGCAGCCAACTTGCCGCTTCAGGCGTCCCGGTATTCAGCTGTGGAGATAGTGAATATTTAGTGGGTGGCAGTGACAGCTACATGTGCACGAAACTATTTTCGCGAGCCCGACTTCGTCGATCACCGGGCACGATGCCGAGCCTGAAGCTTCCGAACAGGACCACTGCAGCGGCGATTTGTGGCAGCGTGTTGTCGACTCCGACCTGGGAGAGTGGATGGGACATCTGTTACGATGATTTAATTACGGCCGATGATGATGCCGAAACTGCGGAACCGTGCACGGATTGGGGCATTGTGAATGAAGTACGTGGCGAGAGCGATTTGAAGGAATCAGATTGCGAGAACGACGAAGCTTTGGAGCCAGCGCCTCATGCAGCTTATGCCACGGGCCTCGGCAAGCGAGCAACCTGCCGTTTTACATGAACTCGAGACCGCCCTTATCGTTTCTGCTCTTCGAAACACGTGCATCACAGACTTTATGGGACAAAAAAAGTTTGTGTTTTCACTCGCAACTTTTTTAAAAGCTGTGTTTTATTTACTACGAACTTCGGGATACAGCGAACGGATGCCGCATCACGCTCAGGCTCGTTATAAGCGGGCTCAACTGTAACACGTCTTCTCTAGAAACAAAACCAGCTCGGAAAGGTTCTGTTTGGCGTTGCATAAGTCAGCTGCAAGACTTTGGGGTGGATGTTGCCAGACTGCCACCAAATTTAGTGGATAAATTTACTCTTGTGGTTGTGGCTTTTCCGTGAGGGTTGGGTGTCGTCCGTGGTGCATTTTGCAAGTGCGTGAGCTACGTTGGCCGTTTTAATTAACAAAATGAATGTGAAACGAGTGTTCCAGAAGTCGGGGCGCGTTCTCTTGCTGTGTGCGCTGCTGTGCAATTAAGAGATCGTGTCTCAGAGTTAGGCAATCAACGACACGTCGTCCGCCATGCATTTTGCGAGTGGGATAAACTTTTTCGCGAGTGTGTGTGCGACCTAATTAACGCAATGAACCGCGCATTACAGAAGTTGGGGCCCGTTCTCTTGCCATGTGTGCAGCTGTGCAATTAAAAGATTGCGGCTCAGTATTAAAGATGACGGGGAAAACTGAATACAGTCGCAGCAGGCGCTGCGCCCCCCCCCCCCCCCTTTTTTTTCACAACTGATCCTGCCGCGTTGACCGCGTGCCACGACGGGGACGCTATACGCTTCCCCTAGTTGTGTCGGCACAAGACATATCGTTCGGACTCGTGTACATGTGACGAATAAACGTCCCAAGGCTGGCTAATCGGGGTGCGTCGGATATGCTACAGCTATATACGGCTGGAAGGCTGCCTTATCGACGCAGTTGGGGCGAATTAGGTGCGACTCGCGCGTACCTGTAAATAGGACCCCGCCGACCAGCCACCGTCGCTTTCAGGGCCCCAGCCGCAATAAGCACAAACGACAAAAATTCCAAATAATGAATGCTTATGCGAGGTCCCATTTACAGGTACGCGTGAGTCACGCTTAATTCGCTCCAACTGCATCGATAAAGCAGCCTTCCAGGCGTATATAGCTGTAGCATATCCGACGTACCCCAATTAGCCAGCCTTGGGACGTTTATTCGTCACATGTACACGAGTCCGAACGATATGTATTGTGCTGACACAGCTAGGGGAAGCGTAGCATTCCCGTCGTGGCATGCGGTCGACGCGGCACGATCGGCTGTGAAAAAAAAAAAGGGGGGGGGGGGGGTGGCAGCGCGCCGCCTGCTGCGACTCTATTCAGTTTTCCCCGTCGTCCCTAATACTGAGACGCGATCTCTTAATTGCACAGTTGCGCACACAGCAAGAAAACCCGCGGTTTATTGCGTTAATTACGTTGCACACACACTCGCGGACAAGTTCATCGCACTCGCGAAATGTACGGCGGACGACGCATCGTTGATTCCCTAACTCTGAGACGCAATCTCTTAATTGCACAGCAGCGCACACAGCAAGAGAACGCGCGCCAACGTCTGCAAGGCGCGGTTCATTCCATTAATTAAAACGGCCAGCATTGCTCATGCACTCGCAAAATGCACCGCGGACGACACCAAACTCTCGCGAGGAAGCCACAACTACAGGGGCAAATTTCTCTACCAAATTTGGCGGCAGTCTGGCAACATTGACCCTCTAAGTCTGGCAACAACATATGCAACGCCAAGCAGAACCTTGCCACCAGCTCAGCGTGGCAACCCTTTCCTTGCTTGCCTGGCGCATTCCCGAGACACGACGCCCTGCAGTTTCCTCTGCCTACCCTGCTCCTTCCATGAAAATGCCTGTCCGGTGTCGACAAGGGCGACGGCAACGAGCCCCGGGGGGGGGGGGGGGGGGGGGATTAAAGGAGCGCCCGTGAAAAGTGGTGGGCTCTTTTTGCTACAAGGAGAGCTTGCCGGCTAGACACCGACACGACTGCCTTAGACCCCACCGCGGGTCATAATGTTGCTGACATCTCTGCACCGTAAACAGTTTTGTACATGAAGTTCTATTTGTAAAACGTCCAACGGTGGAGGCGTCTTCCCACAGAGAAAAGGCACGAAGATGGCGGTGATCATCCTCGCAAAGCAACGAACCCGGCTTTGCTTCACCACCAAGAACCTGCTGCAAACCGTATTTTGAGTTCGGACAAAATTTACTAGGGGGTTGCAAAGTCAGTCCCATGTATTGACATAATAGGGAAGGGGGACCTTTTCTCCCCCTATGAAGGGGTGCCCTGCGCACGCCTATGCAGGAGACCTACAGCAGAAGCAATTGGGCAGTTCTGTATCAATGGAAAAGGCGTACAGTCACCAACGAATTTTTTTTTGGACTCCGAAAATTTGGATTTGATGGGTATTTCAGGCTTCATGAATGTCCTGTCAAGGTTACTATAACACTAATACATTTTTGTGACTGATTTTTCAGACGAAGTTGTGCCCCGAAGTTTGATTTTGCTGACGGAATCACTCGCTTTGAGCCATGCTCCTCTATTTTGAAAGTCTCCATGCTGGAGTTTTTCCCTGGCTTGGTCAACTCTGGTTTTCAATAGACAGTTTTGTTGTCTCTAAGATTTGGAGCGTGCACAATTGTCTAGTTTTGGAGGCCATGCCCGCTTTTTCTTAGCTACCAGAACACCCTACAGCACTCAACTTTTTTGCTTCAGTCAACCTTATTGTTATTATTGATCTGCCGGTAGGGCTTTTTTTTCTGCTTTAGTTTTTCCAGTTGTCATTCCACATGTGGTCATGTTAGAGGCATGTGAAGTGTTTTTGAACAGTCGTGCGTGTCACATGTTTTCTGCCGTTTCCTCTATTACAAATAAACTTAATTTTCATGCCATCCCCACACTATTTCCAGACTATTTCATGATGAAAACTTAATTTTCATGATAAAATTTATTTTCAGACCAGCAATAGAAAACTGAAGTGTAACTAATCAGTCGATCGGTCTTTGAAAGGTCGGTGGCAGTATGAAAACATGGGTCTTGTCTGGCGATGCGGGGTGCTCAGAGTAGAGGGGGGAACAAAGGACGGAGGGGTGGGTAACAGGAAATGGTCGGGGAGAGCGAGAACTAGAGGGCTGCGAAGGCAGTGTCAGTGTCTAACAATTGAAATGTATGGGCACCTCGCTGGTTGCTTATCGGCAGTCGAAAGTGGTGTACCGAGAAGTTGCCGAAGCACAGACTCCTCTCACTGTAACCGATCGGTGGCGCTCAGAGACGTTTGTTGTAAGTGTGATTTTGTGCCATTGAAATAATGTATATTTTCATGATCAGGTGGGTTATGTTCCTTTTAAGCAAAAGTTTGTTTTAAGGGGGGATGTGGAAATTGTAAATTTGGTCAAGATGTTCCGTTTTTCAATTGATGTTTTTCTGTAATCCTGAGACCATGTTTTAAATCATAGTGTTACTTTAGATCAAAATAAGTAGTAAAGGTAAGAAACAAGCATTTTACTGGTGGGCTGTTGTTAAAATCCGTGTGAAAATTGGGCATAGCAAAATGCAAATTTGCAACTTTCCCTCGGCAAAGTGCCACCATATTGGTCTCATCATAAAGAGGACAAATTGGAGCTCCAGATAGTCACAAAGATGCATTTCTCCAATGAAAAATAAAGCCAGGTTCTTTCCGAGTTTCGTTTTATTAGCTTCTAGCTCCATTTTCTCAAGTTTCATTTTTTAAGCAGTTGCTGTCAGTCATTCCTGTGCCATTCCACAACAAATTAAGCTATTGCCATTCCGTTTCCTGCACTTGGATTCTAAGGCATTGGTGAGTGTCGTAAAACTGCCCATATTTGTGTGCACATCATACAGACTTTTGAAATTTTCTTTTTGTAAAAGCTGTTTGTAAGACAACAGTCTAGGACATTTCAGAAAAAACTTTGTGAGCTTACTTGAATATTAAAAATAAACCAATAGCATTACGCCACAAAATGGACCTTTGTAAATATCCTTATGCAAAATTTTCACAAACTTGTGTCTAATTAGCTAATTATGTTAGGGTAACAATGAGAGTCTATGAATAGTTGTAACTTGAGATTTGTATTAGATAGCTCAAAACGGATTTCAGTTATGATATCAGCGCAACAAAGCATATCTTCATGCTGAATTTCGTCCCTTTAGCTTCGTAAATACCAAAAATAAATTTGATTGCCACGTCCTCCCTTAAATGGGGCCGTTATATGTGGGCTTTACTGTATATGCCTATTCATTTCAAATACTTCGCAACTTCAAATGACTTAAATTCATAATAATAATATAACATGTGAGGGTCATACTCTCCAAAACCATGATACAATTACAAGGAATGCCGTAGTTGAAGGCTTTGGGAAATTTCGACCATCTGGTGTTATTTAACGTCCCCCGACGTCTCACAGTACACAGGCCTCCAGCATTTTATCTCCATTAAAATGTGAGCACCGCCACGGCTGGGATAAATTACATAAGTGTCAAGACGAATTCGAATACTGTAATACTCATTGGAATATTCGAAGTGCTCAAATGATAATTTACACATGTGTCAAGGCAAATTCGAATATTGTAACACTCATTGGAATACTCGAAGTGCTCGAATATTCGCGTACCGTATTTACTCGATTCTACCGCGCCCTTGATTGTAACGCGCACCCGGTTTCCACGACGAAAAAAAAAAAAAAAAAAGTAAGACATTAATTGCAACGCGTACCCATTTTCCTTGTTGGCCCGCAGGATCACACCACTCGGGAAAACGACTCCTTTTGAGAGCGTCTTCCGTTGAAATACGAGGTACGGGGGAAGCTTGTGCCTATCTGATGTGCAACGGGGCATTGCCGTCACTCTAGTTTTACCGTGGCCCGATGTCAGCACGCGAACTTCCTTCGCCCCCTTCTTCTCGACGGTTGTGGTGCCAGGCATGTCGAAGTAAAGAGGCGTCTGATCGGCATTCCCGATTTGCCCAAGCAGGTAGCCGTTGTTGTGCCACAAGTTTAGGACGAACCTCTGAAAACTGTGAAGCTTTTCATCGTACTCCTCTCCAAACTTTTCGCATTTGCCCGTTCGCCTTCGGAGGGAAAAGCTTTTCCTCATTATAAAGTTAGTTAGCCAGCACCTGCTCACTTTAAACTGGCTCCACATTAGCCCTTTTTCTAAGGCTAACTGCATAGCCTGCACTTGGAGCAGTTCTGTCGCCACGGGCCGCTGTGCCGCTCACTGCTCAATCACATACTCGCCGAGCAGCTCATCAGTTTGCGAAAACCGACCCTGCTGTGGCCCAATGAAGCCTTTGCGTGAATCTTTGCTGTCGACAATCTTCTGCTATGTTTCCGCCAGTCCCGCACGCGCGTTTTGGGAATTCCGAACGACCGCGATACGGGCCGATTTTCGTCTGTTTCGGCACACGCGATGATTTTTCTTTTAAAAGCGGCATCGTGGTGCACTCGTCGAGTTTTTCGAGTCGGCCCTTCCATGCCGTAGATGCTAATGCACTACAAGACGACGAACTCCTCAGCACAGGTACGAAGTGCCGCACATGTGAAACACATAGGCAGAAATGGCCGACGCGCCATGCTGACGCACGTAGGGGGCGGCCATTTTGGAAATGCCGATGGCAATAGAATGATCGTATTCATCTTTTTTTTCGTACTCGATTTTAACGTGCATGCAATTTATGAACTCGCTTAACCGGAAAAAATGTACGCGTTAGATTCGAGTAATTACGGTATGCCTTGTTCAAATTAAACAAAGAAACACAGCAGCGGTACTTCAATTTTCGGTAGGTGTGACCCAAGTTGTTCAGAAGAGGCTCCCACTTCTCAGGAAGAACACCGCGGTCATTCGCCTGGAGCAAGTTCAGGGCGTTCTCGAAGTGCCGCTTGGCAGCTGGGTACCTGCGCGGAGTGAACCCACAAACAAACTGCTCGTGAGCGCAGGTGGAAACTTCTGCAATCAACTGATCAGCTTAGTAGGTCTTGTGTATCTGAAAGGCTTGGATCGCGGAACTTTATTATCTACAAAGTGTAGCTTTCAGTCAATTACTTCCCGATTAGGTTTGATGATCATTAGACAGCCTATTTATGAAGTGCAGTTTGCAGTAAACAGCCCTCCAGCAGGGCTTGGCAGTATGTCAGAAATACGGGCTGTATCCGCAATGTGAAGCTTCGAATCAATAAGCATTGATTGCCAATGTGTAGTAGTAAATGTGTAGTAGTAAAGTCACTAGGAGATATTAACATAGTGTATCCATACTGTAGTATTTTAATTACAATTACTAGCTGAATTAGTTTGTGCTTAGCATCGCAACAAGACAAAGCATTTGCCAACCTTGCTGGCCAGCTGTAATGTCTCTTGGAAAAACAAAGTGCTTCTGAAATGTAACATTTTCAACAAACAAATGATTAACTGGTCTGGTTTACATGTTTATTCTGTGCCAAAGCTACCATATAATAATGAGAGTACTACCTAATCATTCTGACCACCCAGAGTTCACTAACAACTGGGATTGCAAAGTGAAAAACACGGTCATTTTTACATTTTGACCCCATGAAAATGTGGCTACTGTGGTCGCAAATCAAATCTCCGTCTTGGAGCTCTCATGGTAACCCAGAATGAATAATGCAATGTTTCCAGTAACTTATATATTGATTGATCAACCGACTGCGCTCAACATCTGACATAGACAAACAGTACAAGAGACAGGAAAATGAAAAGATGAAAATAATCTTGCACTGCTGGTATTTCTTTAAAAGGAGCCTTGCAACACTTTTTGAGCATGGCCAACAATGCCTGCTAATAGGTACCGCAGTCGAGGCTCCTGAGAAGATGCGTGCCAACTATTATAGCACAGCAACCCCCGGCCAAGAATTTACAATTAATTCAGAAAGTCAGCTTAAAATAGATTTCTGTTTTCTCGACAAATGACGCTACAGGATCAAAAATCACTGCGTCACGGGCATAGTATCAGTCATAGGCTGATATAAGCATGGCGTACTCGGTTCTTACTGGAGTCGCCGTGGGAGGCCACAACTTATGCCCGTGTGTGTGCACAATCATCCTGAAAAATCATGAAACTGAAGAGACAAAAAAAAGAGAGAGAGATAGAAATCGCTCCAGGCTATGAGGCGCACATGATGTGTTTTTTTCCCCCCGTGCCGTCCCTGCTTAGGTTTCAGCGCTTTCGTCAGGTCAAGAGAAGCGAGAGTGCAATTGTGGCATGCGACAAATTTTTGTATCTCGACTAGTACTGGACGAATTCTGAAAGTTATTGCGGCGGTGAATTCGTGAGGCAAGAAGCTCTTTTAGTTAATTCATTCCATGGCTACTCCAAAAAGAGTTTCAATGAACATTAAAATGAAGTACTAAAGTAATGTAGGCGGGTAAATTATTCCTCAATAACAATCATATTGTCGACACAATCGCTACTATAAGTCCATTCACATAACAAAAAATTAAGGTCCAAGTTTGATTTTTCATGCTCCCGCAAAATGTTCCTCACATAAATGGTAATGTGACTTCATGGATTTTGAGCTCTTTTTTGTATTTTCTGACTGCACTGGGTCAACAAGATATTTTGAAACTTGTTATACTATAGTGAAAGCTAGTGTCTTTCTTTTTCTATTCCAGTGTGAATTCAGCAAAATTCAAATCAAAGCCAGTGATTAAAAAAAATGCATGATCCCACTCTAGCTCCCCCACCCCCTTTTTTTTTTTCTTCAAAAAAAAAAAAGATCGCAACCACTGCTTGAGCTACTATTTGGTAATGCATATATTGAGTGGATTCCTGCTATTCGCGGCGAGATCGGGCTATAGGAGGCAGCACCGTCCCGCGGAAGTGTGGATAGGCGGTCGGCAGCACGTATACAAATACACTCAGCGGGGCTTCGTTGCATGCGGTCTGAGCCAATTGTCGGCGGATAAAATGGGTTTACTGTTAATATTTATCCTCTTCTCTACTGAATCGATGCACAACACCTATGCAACATTAACATTACCCAGGAGTAAAGCGCATTCTGCCTTTCATCGGGATGCTCGCACTGGGTGACTCCCTTCATGCTTTCGCACTAAATCACGCCTTTGCTGTGTTGTTCATACGTAGTTAGCTTGTGTTCCTCTTGCTACGCACTGCTGTAGTGTGACTGAAATACTTGTTTACATATTCAACATCTGCATACTATGAAAAAGAGAAGGAAAGATCATAGAAAGCCCGCATATATGCAGCGATTAGTTTAGTACCACTGTTCGCACCTTAAGCATATGATCTTTTTGCTCTCATTCTGTTTACCATGAAATTTGAGACCGTCGACAAGTTTAGTCAGGAAAGCTTAGTGGCTGACAGTGCTTTGCGCTACATTGCGTTGTGCCACGTGTACGCACGTGATGTTGCACCAGTAAAAACATAGAAATCTTATATAAGAGTGCAGCAGAAAGCTTTCATCGACGAATTACGTGCATGACAGTGCTACGACAAAGGCCTGCATTGTAAATAAGACAAGCATGTTGTTTTTTCAGACAAAAATACCACTGACTTCCGTCAGTCACTAACCATGCCCCACAAACACTGAAAATGTGAAAAAGATTAAATTTTCAATGAAACTATACGTTATACATAAGGCATGTTGTCTGAATCAATTTTCAACATCTGGGATCTTTAAAACGTTCCTAAATCTAAGCCCACCGTTGCGCAAGGTAACTCTGTTTTAAGTACAGTGTAAGTACCGAAGTCTCACAGTTTATGTGAAAGTTATATTTCTATGTAGTGGTACCATGGCCAGATAAACACAACTGAGGCTCGTCGCATGATCGAAAAACCACACTGCCATAGTTGTACACTTACCAACAGTGCGCAAGTGCGTAACCTAGAGCCTGTTTTTTTTTTTTTTTTTTTTTAACACCCGAGTCGCTATAGAATGCTGCATACACATACCATTTAATAGTTCTCATGTTTGAGAGGAAGCTAAGAGCATTTTGCGATGTGCTCGAAACAGAAAGTGGCACCCACTCTGAAATTATTCTGGTAAATGGTGGGTACGATGACAATGAACAGCATTCTGTAAAGCTGCACTCGCCGATCTTATTACAATCCATTAGCAGCCGAGCAAGACCAAATGCTTTCATATGACATTTCAGGCATAGAAACAAGACGTGGCTAGCAGACAACGCAAGGAGCAATTCACACTTCAGTGTTTCGGCCAGTTGGCACCAGAAGGTGACTCTGCTTGATCTCGCGGCCGATAGGCACAAAACTTGGAAACACATCTGCTGTCCAGAGTCGCCTTTGAAGGAAAAAAAAAGGAGGGGGGCTTTCGTGAATGGCAACTACAGTTCTTATATATTTTTTTTTATTCATCTCATCATGTCCATGACAAACTTGTGCCAACAGCAGCTGCTTTTTATTTTAGTTCAATGCTGAGTGGCCATGGTATTCATTCAAAAGCGAAGTGAAAGGCGCTTTGATTTCTAACCAGACACTAGCGTCAAATTGATTGGTTATTGTAGGGTGAGAGTTCACTTGAATAGAGTGTAGACTCCGCGTCTCGCTGTCACCACTTATAGCTGCCTGTTTCATGCGAGTTGATACAACAAGCCAGCGAATGTATACCAATTGACCCCAATAAAAATAGAAGTGGAATTTTATTTATGTGGCATGCATAACTATGGTTGCAATTTATTCTTAATGGCGTTTCTTAAACCTTTGCGGTCCCACACTTGCACCCACTTTTTGGCACTACCAGTTCGAAACTATTTTGCCAGTTTCTGGCATCGTGAAAAAAAAATACGAACTGTGGAAGAAAAACTCCCAGGATATTTATTTTTCCTCCTGCATTCTGCAGGACACTCCTTTAGCGATATTTAAGCAGCATATGATACCAATCAGACCATTCTCTTGGGTGCAGGCTATTGTTGTTACTGCAGGTTTTGCAGAAAAACAGAGGTGGCTCCACCGCCGTCGTCATCGTCACTCACTTGAGTCGAATCACTGTCATCACTGTCTGGCGGCGGCACGTAATTCTCTTCCTCAATAAAGTAATCCTCGCTTTCACTAAAAGAACCACCGTAAGACGCACGCAGTGAAAGTGTGGCCATGCTTCTCGGCCAAACAATGCCCAAGTGGGTACGCTCTAGGCTCCGTGCTGAACATAGTACTGTTCCCTCGTGTAAAAAAAGTTAACCTGAACGAACTAAGCTCACTCATTCCTCAAGAGACGGCGCTTCATGGATTTTGAAAATGTGCATGACTTGTAGAGAGAAAACATCATTAAGCAACGAATAACCTTGTCGGGCAGCATCCGACAGCGAACCGCTGCGACGATGTTGGGTTGTCGGTGCCAGCAACGCCCTTTGTGGTCTGTCGGACCATGAAGGTTCTAACTTTAGGGCAATTACAAATGTTTAGGAGCGCGGCAAAAGATTTGTGGATGAGCTATACTCCACAGGTGCTCTCGCTCTGCGAGACAAATGGTTATGAACTTTGCAACAACAAGGTCGCACGTTACAAATGAACTAAAAGCAATGCATTTTTGTTTCTTGCTAACGAAAATATGTCATGCTTTGAAACTGCAGAGACATTATAATCAAGTCGGAACAGTATTTGCATGTTACTATTTTGTAAGCTGTGCAGCAATATTTGAACGATACTCAAAATAAAGCAACACACATTCTGGGCATACTGAAGGTATAGTGTTACAAAAAAAAGTGCACGACATACTCTTGATTCTGGAAGGCCACAACACCCATTTCATGGAGTACAAAAGGGTCGTTTGGTGCGATGGCCAGTGCTTGGCTGAAGAACCGCTCTGCCAGCTTGGTGTTGTTGGTCAAGCCGTACTCGAGCCCAATGTACAAGAACGGGAGGTGACACCTGGCGATACATGGAAGCACAGGACACATTATGCACAGCCAGTAGCACTACAGTTAAAAACATTACCAAAAACATGTTGCATGAAGTCGCCAGCATGCCGTAAGTACAGGCATTCAGGAGGCACATGGTGGGTCATTAGAGCGGCGCAATGCAAGAAACACTCGGAGCCCAACAGTGAAGAAACATGAGAGACTGTTTTCTGCTTTGGCATCTTCGGAGAGATAACTGTCCCTAATGCAGCTGCCAACAATAATTTATCTTCCCTGTCACTCACATGCTCCAGCAGCATCGTATCAGTTTACACAAGCCTTTTTCGGCACAGTGCTGAAGCAGGTTATTCTGTTATCACGTAATGACAATGAATGTGATGACATTGAGTCTTCAAAGGTTCTGCTAGGCAACAATTTCATTTCATTCGACCATGCGACCACTGCTGCGCATGACGTTTTACTAAATTTAGCACCTTTTGTTTCTATAGCAGCATTATAATTTTAATTTTCATCTAAAATTCTTCACTGTACAATCGTCCCACATCTTCATTCACAAATCACCGAATGGTACCAGCTGCAAATGATGAAGCTAACTGTACTGCTGCTACATTGCTAAATCTAGCAAGCTGTGAGTTCGCTGGACTTCCACACTGTACTGGGTATGTGACTTTTATTTCAGATCAGAAGAAGACCAGCACAGAGCACATATGGGTTTACAGGAGATCGAGAGTATAGTTGAATGAATAGAGGGCGAGATGTGAAAATTTTTGACAATAACCTATGAAATTACTATATGTTAGTTTACAAGCACACTGTTCACTGCTGGCACAGCCTGCTTTGTCACTGTTTTGATAAGTATAGTTAGGCTGCCTACAGCAGCTTCTAGCTGCAAGAATGTGTAGATTTTATAAGAAAAATAGAGCTTCAACTAGAACTATGCATAATGCCTACAACAATGTCAGATTGTATGTGGCAGTTCACATTGTGCCAAGGCCAGAAAAGTGCACAGGATGACGTCAAAAGAAGAGAACGCACGTTATAGAAAGTGAGACAGCCTAATAACAGAAAAAATGAATCGAAAAAGTGTGGATCGATGGGTTAGTTTTAAAGTTTTAAATATAGATGGAACAGGGCAGCAATGAAAGAAGAGGACATACGACAACTTGCACTAATGCATTCTCTTTTGTTTTTGTCACCTGTGCTGTTTTATTCCTGTTACAACAACGGGACACTGAAGTGCAATACAATTTTTTGGATGTAAGTAAAGAACAACTTCACAATTCTGAAAACACCGCTCTCACCTCGAAGCAAAGTACGGTAAGCGAGGAAAATCAACAAAAGGAAATGCGGGTAGAGACGCCAACACGATATTGCCGCACTGAACACCGTGACGTCGTAAACTTTGAAAGCTTCTACTGGGTGTTTCGTAAGTTCCACTTGATAAACAAGATGTGCGCTGTCCTCTGCGGGTGCCATAAACCTAGCATATGAAGTTCCAGAAAATTTCATCGAGTTAATGTAGAAAAAATATGAAAAATACATTGCGAAGTTTTTGACATGCACGAAAATTCGTCACGATATTTAATATTACACTTCAGTCACTATTTTCTCTGCTAATAATGAAATTACTGTAGTGAAACAATGCGTTAAAAGTCCTCAGAGTGCACTTTCACAATCTAAACCAAGTCATTGTTTCTTTCGGTGTCCCTTTAAACTACCATCCACACTTCTGCGATGCACTTCATGCGACAGGGCACAGCGCATTGCGTTTAAAAGCAAGGTAATGCGTGACAACACTGAAGACAAATGTGAGGGCCAAGAAGTGGAGATTAAAGAAATACATGAAGAAAACTATTCACAGATCGCAATTGAAGACACCAAGCCAAACGATGACATTCCTCACCCTTTGATTAGCTGGAGTGCCTTGAAGTAAGCTGCCATTGCCTGGTCATGCTCACTTTCCATGGCGAACGAGTGGCCATACATGAGCCAGGCCGGACCAAACACCTGGTCCAATACGGTGGCCTTGCTGTGTAGAAATGTACAGGAGCAGACAGTCCCGAGCCACATGTTAGGTGGATAACGAAATGAAAATCATGAAATTAACAGCATGAGCGCTTCGGCAAGAGAAGCAATGGACCCCTTCCTCACCCTATGTTGCTTTTACTCCACTTTTGGCTTGCTTGAGGACTTGACAAACGTTCTTTGGCAACAGCAACAAAAGCACCGAAAACAAAATCGACATTTTGATGTGCTCTAGGAATCAGTTTTTAAACCGACTGCAGTGTTGCGAGCCATACATTTTCAGTTGAGGGCGTGAGGCACAAGGCTGGTTACTTGCATGTTCAAGCAAATCAGGACTGCGGCGGCCACATTGCAATTGAGGACAAATGTAAGGTTCGCAGGTGGTCAGGATTTCTGGAGCCCTGTACAACAGCATCTTTCGAATTTGCCTTGTGGTTTTGTAATGTATTATTATTATTATTATTATTATTATTATTATTATTACAGACAGTCCCATTTCAATTTGTTGGACATCATTACTTCTTGACATTAGTATCACTCTTCCTACACCGGTTAAATTTATGTAGAGCTCTCACAAGTGTTCAATTGCAGTTAGCCGAGTGGTACCCAACAGCAATAATGTAACACAAGCACTGCAGTTGAACTGTTTGTTAAAGCAACAATTTTTTTTTTTGCTGTCGCTAACAGAGGTTTATTAAGGTAAATCAGCCATCAGAAAGTTGCCTGGCTGTGTTTTGTAACAGAAAGTCAGCATTGAACGATTAGTTCTGCAGCAACTGAATGAAAGCTGCATTTGGAATGGGAGCAGCACAAGTAGTCGCTAGACAAGTAGAATTTGAAAGAGCGTGCCTGCTTCCATAGGCAGCTTTTGTCGTGACTGTGTAAGTTGAATAAGTTTTGTTTCCCTTTGGGAATTTTCATATTTCTTTTAGCATTCACTTCGGGATCACACAAAGAATGCCTGACTCGTCAAGTGAAATGTCAGTGCAAGGCCCCTTTCAGTGAAACAAACCAGGAGTTTTTATGCTAAACGGTATCAAGCTGTTCTGCTACAGTACGTCAGTGCGACACAATGTGTCTTCAATGCTGTTCCTACAGCGCTTCTGCTTATATCTTAAATGTCAAATGCTTGAACAAAAGTTTCCTACATCTGTGCTAAATAAAATGCAAAAAACCCAGAAAAATTGAAAGAATGATGGAATTGCACAAAGAAGATGCAATTATTCTAACATCCAATGTTTATTTAACACTGTTTTGAACAGATGGCTGTAATTGGGTCAATACATGAGTACGTGCCAGTGACATGCCAGCCCATTCAGAGCTGGGCACCAAGTATCGTGACGTCATGTGTTTCCAAAGCGGCAGATGCAGTGACAGATGCAGTGACAGCATCATGCACGCATAAGATTTCAGGGATATGTCAGTGCTATGCAAAAATGTACGGCATGTCAGTGTTCCCATCCAAGAAATTTGCCAATTCAAGTCATGCTTTTGGCCTAGCCACTATGGCTGTACAGTGCAATAGCACTGTAGTACTTCTCTAGGGAAGGTATGACACGGAACAGTTCACTTGATGCATCCGCATTTCTATTTCGCGTAGCTATACGCATCTAGGTTACATGGAACATATTTCCCTGGTTCTCCAGGTTTTGTTTAACGAGTCTACGGTTTTTCGGAACATTTAGCTTTGCATCCTTCATTTGTGATGGGTTGCTAGGTGCAACATTTACAAAGATATCAGAAGATTCATTTTTTACTGGTAATACATCTCTAAACTGTGCTGCATTTGTCGCTTGAAGCATCTGAGTGTTATTAAATATCTCAGCAGCAAATATTATTCCGTATTGGTTGAACTAAAATTGGGCTTTTCATGTTCTCTAGAATTCTGCTCTAGTGGTCTTTAGCCATAGCTGCATCTTTCTAGAGGAACTCTAGAGATTGACTTTAGAATAAAGCCTCTAAATATTATTGTAAGCGCAAGGGCAAAGTGCACACTCACCTGAGGTAACGCCTTGCAGAACCTGCTTTGCCTATTAGGTAGTAGTAGCAACCAACAGCAAACCATGATATCTAATGTGAAGAAAGGCAAAACCACACAGAATGAACATTGCAGCTCAAAAGAGACTAGAGGTTGAAGCATCGCACCACTATGAAAATAATAACATTAGAAAAACATATCACTAAGCAAACAAGCGGTCCTCAGAATGTGCAATAAAATTTTTGGTATGAAAATGACTTCAGTAAAACAGCATGCTAGTTTTCTAGCATCAGCACAAGATGTCTTTTAATTTATATTTCTGCTTCCAAGTTCCGGTAGCCTTAATACGTTTCAGTTACCCTGTCTGATTCCTCTAAATGCAATAGTGTTAAAGGGCTTATTTTGCCGAAAGCCCAGTGCCAGCAGCGTCGGTAGTGGCGCCCCTGTTTGTGAGCGAAAAAGCAGCTCTGGCCGTGAGCAAATATTCGAGGTGCTTGTAAATAAAGACAGGAGCTCGGAGGCGTTTGAGCTTAGGCTTTCCTTGCAACACAGTGTAGCTCTCTACAGAGTTATGACGACAGGCTAACAATTAAGAGAGGCAATAGCCCACATGTGTGCATGCGTGCGTACGAGTGTGTGCAAGCGAATATTGCTATTGTGTTCAACTCAAAGGCGAAGTTTAAGGGTCCCCCAATTCTGTTCACTTCCCTTTTCTACTTCCGGTCTCTTAATCAACTTGTTGTTTCCATTTTATTCGCTGTTACAAGTAGTCCAGAGAAGGCCACTTAGACATGTAAGTTCAGAAATGATCGTTCACATCCTGGACATTATCCCCTATTTAAAAGAACAGGCAACACGTCATGTAATGAAAGATGATTATGAGGAAAAGCTGTGCTGGCTTGTATAGGATGCACTGAATATGCTGCCATTTTTTGCCAGACAACGTGCGAATTTTTTCATTTGTATGCTTGAAATTCAACAAAGTCACATCAAGTTGTATGAAAGGTGTCTTTTGCCTTTGATTGATTACTATGAAAGAGGAATAATTTTCTCAGACATGCTTGAATGCAATACGCTGCAGCAGCAGTAAGTAAACACACCACTGCAGTCTGACACAACTTAGGAAGTCCGGAGAGGCCCCGTCCAGATGACTTGAAGTCCGGCAGCAAGATTGCCTCGCCACTAAAAGAACAGTCGCGCTACTGCAATCGACAATGTTGAATGCAAGCAAGGTCGCCAGCCGTTCAATTCATGGCATCAGAAAAGCTTGTGTGGGGGGCTAATTGTAACAACTAGTGCTTGCTGCCTTTACTGTAGGTAAGGGCAGCGCTGCAAACTTAAGGACCAAGAAAACAAGACTGTACGCAGACAAAGAGCATCTAACAATATTGAGTTTGATAACAGCAGGTGTTTTACTGCATAGATAGTGCTCCAGTAAAATCGTGCGTGGTTTGCCTTCAGTGCCCTCTCTTTTGTACTTCACCCCACCCCAGTGATGCTACCGAGGCCATCTGATTTGGAGCAACTTTTGGAGCAGCAAAATTTTCCGTTTTGGAGCAATCTGGAGCACCTAACTTCACTGAGAAGCAAGTTACATTTACATTGAAGGACATGAATTTTGGGGCTCTTATGAAGAGCTAAAAATATTTCGATTCATTGCGAATCTCATGGAGCCAATTATCTTAGGAGCTCTACTTATTTTAGTTTATGATGCAAAAATAATGGCATCATACTGTTGAGCATTCTGGAGAAACTCGTTCAGTGATTATTTTTGTAGCAAATGAACAGAATACCGGTTGAATAAAAACATACTTCATGGAAGAAAATTATAAATACGCCTATGTGGTTATCAGTAGATTTGGTGGAAAATTGCTACGGTGTATAATGTTAGAGACTCAAACAGTCCCAATTGATTCCCCTGCAATGATTTTAAGCATAAAAAAAGATTCTTTTTCTTCACAACTGATTATACTGCTGGGCGCAACATGACGTTATTTAGCTAGTCTCATAAAGTCAACCTCCTCCATCACTCATTTCTCTGTGCTGAAACTACACCATTTAACAAACCTTGTTTTCCTTCCGCAGCGATGTTTTATGTGACTAGGGCATTCTGTCTTAGCCCCCTATACAGTAGACTCCCTTTAAGACGAACTCCAAGGGACCTCGATCATTTCTTCGTTTTATTATGAGTTCATCTTATCAGAAGTACCCAAAAAACCGAATATTAGCATGCCAAGTACACCTAAATATGTTGCTTGAAAACACGGAATGAAGTATGCTTACAATGGGGAGTAAAGGAACAAAAAAAAGCATTTATTTAGCTCAGCTTGATAAAAACTATGCTTTCATGTAGAATATTTAGTAGGCTTGTGTGAATATTCAAATGCTTAGAATATTCAAATGAATAGTAGGGTATTCCACTTTGTTTCGAAATCATTGAAAATTTTGAAGTATTTGCAAGGAACGAATAGGCGCATTAGTCCAAATCTACCACCTGTAAAAGTGATTTCACTGCAGTGAAGTAATGCTGAATCGTGAAAACACCTATTCAAAAAAAAAAAAAAAAAATCCGCCCTGCTTTTTAAGCATTGTCCACAAACGCTGCCAATCGGTAGTCGAGGCTACCGAAGACACGCAGGCTAAATATTATAGCACAGCACGCGGCGTGCGATTCACAATAAATTCTCAAAGTCGGCTCACAATTGCTCTCTTCTCTCGGCAAATGACTCCACAAGCTCAGAAAGCACGCGTGACGCATTTTCTTTCCCCGTGTCATCCCTCCCTGCTGAGCTTCCAGCGCTTTCATCGGGACGAGAAGAGAGAATGCACTTGCAGCATGCGACAATTACTTGCAAATCCGTGCATACCGAACGGATTCTAAAAATTTCTCCGCCGGTAAATTCATGAGGCAATAAGCTTCTTTAGTGAATTCATGCCATGGCTATTTGGCAAAGTGTCGCACGGCCCCTTTAAATGAAAATATCACCCTCAGATCCATTCATTTCATTAAGCTTAAAAGCTTATGTTGGCTTACATGCTTTAAGTATAATCAATTTTTGAATTTTACATATTTTAAGGGTTTTGACTCGTATCCTGTTGAAAGTCAAATCCTGCTATTGCTCAAAGTTGTTTTGACTTCCTTTGAACAAAAAAAGGAATGGCATTTGCATAGAAGCCCTATTTCCATTTTTAAAAAATATTGTGCAGATTAGTTAGGTCATGATACTGATGCCCATTTTTCTTTATATATCATATGTACTATTCGAATTCGATTAGAAATTATTACACCAAAATCATCATTGGCTTCAAACCTAAAATTCACTATTCACACAAGCCTAGTATTTACGCTAATCTAGAGAGTACTCGATTTCCCGATTTATTTATAAATATGCTCATGAATAAATTGCTACTACATATCAACAATAAAACTGTAGCACGGCCCATTCTACACCTACAGGATAGGGGGGGAGGGAGATACCAGCTTTACGCGTTGACCTTTATTTCTCACTTACCACGCTTTCTTTATCCATGCCACAATTATCTTTCTATATGCTTTGAGTCTTGGCGCCAGAAAAGTCTTTTCTCTCTCTCTCTCTCTCTCTCTTTTTTTTTTATTTTGCTATCTCAGTTTGCCTGAATGCTCCCATCAAAGGTATAATGTTCGTTGTGCAGAATCTTCGTCTTTGTTGGTTGTTGCGAGTGTTCATATTAACAGAAGAGGCGTGTTATGCGGTTCGTCTTAAGCAGATTTTTTTGCATTGAGTTTATGGGAAACCAAACAAACACTCAGATGTTGTTCGTCTTAGGCAAGAACTTGTCTTAACAGAGTTCATCTTAAAGGGAGTTCACTGTAGTGTCTTTTAGAAAGCAGTGCATAGAAAAAGAACATAGGGTACCTTATGCACACGCCTCAGACGACTCAAAGACCCCCCCCCCCCCCCCAAAAAAAAAATGAAGCAATGAATGCGATGCCCTGATGTCCAATATTTTTTTTCTAACCGTGGGCTGTTGGCCCTAAGAAACGAGAGGCGGATGTGTAACAAGGCGTAGCCGCTTCACAGTGAGCCTTCTGACACCAGAGCTGGCAGTGAAGGCCTCACTACAGAAAGCTGCGTGTATTAAAACCTAATTGTGGCTGCTCCGACCAAGAGACATGCTTTTATTAATGAGATGTTATTTTTAAAAAAGCACACCAAAAGTTTGAATTCAGACCCTAGCAATCTCGAGAAAAGGCTGGGTCTTTTAGCGGCTCTTGCCGCAACAGCGAATACAAACGCAGACGCAGGTGGAAGGAATTACGAAACACCACTTCTGACGAAGATTCATGAATAAAGCATATTAAAGGAAAAGTGTCAATGCGTTTCCAGCATTCACGTGTTGTTTTGTGGATGTGAAGCATGAAAAATTAGATCACGATGTCCAAAAGTAGACATGACAAACATTAAGGTTAAGAATGTTGTAGGTAGCCGGCGGATCTAGCCTTGCATAATTTGCAGGCAATTGCCCCGCCCAGTTTCCTCTTTGCTAATTGTAGCTAATGTCCTTTGATTATTTTATAACTAAGGATGAGCAGGCTTTTAAAATAAAAATCATGCATAGCGCAACGTAAGCCTGCATAAGATGGCAGTCTGTGCTGTTCCACGTGCAGCATTGTGCCAGATGTCTATCTAGCTGCACTATACCCCAAACATAATTGTCACTTATCAGCAGTCACATACGAGGTCTGTAGCCATAAAAAATTTCAAGAGAAGTCGCGACACCTGTTTCCTGAAGATTGAGGAACCACGAGGAAACACAATATCAGTCACGCTGTCACATGGCGAGCCTAACTGTTGCAGTTCCTCGAATAAACCTTGCCGCTCCTTCTTAAGCTCACGACATTTAAGCAAATAGTGTTCTATATCACCGTTTTCCTTGCACTTCAGGCACAAGGGCGTCGCGGAGAGTCTGATCTTGTGGAGCCATGCTGGGGTACGCGCTGATCCCGTGCGGATGCGATGAAGCAAGCAGGCATCTTCCCTTGATAGCCCTTGCGTCACACATGGCTGGTGAGGCGTCAGCCATAACGAGCGAAAATGCTTATTGACAGCTTCTCGTAAGATACGCTGATTGTCTTTGAGAGCCTTCTTCATTGGTGTAAGCTCCAGAGCACTCCGGGCAAGTCTGTCAGCGGCCTCATTACCTGCTATATTTACATGTGATGGAATCCATTGAAACTTAATGATTATACCAATGCCATGCAGGCCTTTAAGGATTCTCAGTGATCCTTGAGTGCATCGATCCAAAAGCAATCCACGTTTTAGCCGCTGCAAAGCGGTCCAAAAACAGCACAACCTGTTGCTTCCTACAAAACTCTGGCGGCACACGTACAGTTATAAATGAACATTGCTTTATTTACGTGCCTCACAACCCTTCAAACAAGCTATCAGCAGCGTTCCTGGAACAAACAATGTCCGTCGATGAATTGCCACTACATTTTCACGCTACTATTAAAACTAGAGGTTGAGAGCCCCCGCGAAGAGCACGTTTCGCTGTTAAGTGAACAAGCTGAACAGAAAATGCGTCGGCACCAACCGACGGATGGATGGGGCGGTTGCTCTACGACGAACTACCGAAAATCTTCTGCCGCCGACAATGCCATGACGAAACCTTAAAAACACGATGGTATCCCCAGCGAGCCCTGTCATCGAAACCTCGCGTACCAAAGACGACCTAGTGGCGCAACACGGAAGCATCGGAACAAGACGACGTAGTCATGACCCGACGCCACAGCCCAACTGCAACGCAATACGACGAACTAGCGACGTCGATGTTCTTATCGAAGGCCCCAATCTGACAGCTTTCGTCGACAACGGAGACGACTATTCTGTCATCAGCAGAGCGTTCGCCACGAAGTTGAAGAAAGTGAAGACCACGTGGGAAGGCCCTGAGATCCAGACAGCTGGAGGTCACTTAGTAACGCCGGCAGGAATCTGCACAGCGAGAGTCTCCATAAACAACCGGATTTACCCTGCAAGCTTTGTAGTCCTACAACCTTGCTCCAGAGACATCATTCTTGGTCTACACTTCTTAGCCCTTCACGGGGCAGTCATCAACCTCAGATGACAGAAAAAGCACTGCCGCCGCACACAAAATCAGAAAAGCGCGCCTTAAATGTGCTGGAAGAACACGACACCATTCCTCCTCGCTCTAGCCTCAGCATTTCTGTCGGCACACAGATATTTTCGCAAGGCGTTGTTGAAGGCGTCCAGTACCTGTTGATCAACCGCAAGATTTGTGTCGCCAGAGGAATAGCCGAGCTGCAAGGAGGAAAAGCTACAGTGATGCTTTTGAACTTCAGCAATGAATACAAGCACGTGAGCAAAGGCACCACGCTTGCCTATATCGAAGACATGATGGAAGACAGCAACACTTCCGTCTTCGCAGAGTTATCAGGATGACCCAGTAAATCTGATTTGGCGCACTTTGGTGCAGTTGGCGCAGGAGTGCAATTACTGCCCCACCCCCATCTTGGTTTTTTTGTTTCAATAAATTCAGTTGTTAGATACCATTTGTCTTCGTATAGTCCAGTTTTTTTTGGTCCTTAACTTTGCAGCGCTGCCTTTACCTACATCATAATGTCAGTCCAAAGTGAGCGTCAATTGGTGTGGGCTTGCATATGACGAGGAAGTCAGCGCCTTTTGACAAAGTCAGCGGCCTTTGACGAGGAAACGCCGCTGACTTCTGGAGTTGCAGGTGAACCCACTTTGCTACTCCATGGAGTGCCAAGAAATCCTTGGCTCAGATAACCAACCAGAGAAAGAGAACCAAATGAATGTGTTCCTAGAGTCTGCTGCCTTTGGAATCACACTGACTCTGCTTGCGTAGGCAACAGTGGCGCAAACCGGTTGAGCTGTGCTCACTTTTTTTAAACACCCAGTCACTTACAGGCTGGGAGTGGGCTCTAGGACTTGGTGCACTGCATAATGCAGTTGAAATAGAACTTGCCAACAGCGACGAATGTATGCAAAAATAATGTGCTGCCCTTTTCTATAGTTTATTCATGCGAACTTGTATAGGAGTTGCTCAATCTCCAACCAGTGCAAAAGTGCACATGATGCAAACACATTCACTATATAATTCAAAAACAAAACAAAGGTTAACTTCAGTTCTATTATACCGTTTGCAAGTAACTAGATGTGCTTGAACAAGATTTTAAAGCAAGCTGGCATAGCTGCATCTACCGTAAGAGTCAGAAATCTCCTAACATCAATAGAAGCCAGTCTTTCAAACATATAAAGACAGAGGTAAAAAATTTTAAAAAATGCACACTTACAGCGTTTTCGGGGTACATATCGACAAGCTTGTGGGCCAAGTAGAACAAATCTGTCAAATACAAGACACAGAAACTTACTTGGAATGAAGTTACTCAGAACAGCGAGGTGACCTTGGAACATAGGCTACACAGCATAGCTTTATTAAGTACTCTACAATTAGTGGTGAAGCACAAAAAATCAAAGGCATAACATTCCATCAACGCTCACGCATAATGAATGGCCGAGAACCATGAAAGGCAAGGTTTAGGGGTCAATTCCTGAAAACTCATCTTTTGGTTCATCTTTTCGCCAAGCAACAGCCACCTATCTCGCATCTACCACCTGTCATGCCATTTCTTTCGTTAAAAAGGCCCTGTAGCACCTTTGCAAGCTTATGAATATTTCAAATCCATCAATTATCCGAGTAATCATTGTTGTTACGACTCGAGCTGCACACTTTCTCTCTCCATTCACGGAAATCAGTGCACTTGATGCTACACAGGAGCCGAATGAGCTAATGCATGCTTTGAAAGATATTGTCACATGTAATGGCTTTGAGCATTTCTATCTTTTTTTTTTTTTTGGCTTTACTATGTGCTACTTTTGGTTCAGACGTGGTGCATACCACAGGCATGACGCACCACATGGCCTCGAAGATGCAGGGCTGGCATATTGTAAATGAGATCAGCCAATACCTACTGTGCCTGCTTGGTTTCACGCGCTGCGTAGTTTACAGGAGGAAGAGGGAGCGATTTTCGGCTGCTCATGATTAGAATTTGTAAATTCTCTGCCACATATGGTGTGGCATTGTTTAGCTAGTGTCACCATGTTCAAAAGGCTTAGCAGGGCCTCTTGAATGCTGCATGCCAGACACTTCTGGTTGACAGAAGACACACAGAAAGTTCTATCAGCATGACAAATAATTCTTGAAAGAAAACTTGTGAGCACCAATTTTTCCACACTAAAAACACAGTAAACAGAACTGATGATAATTGTTCATAGCTAAATAAAACTACCCTAAAAGGCAGAAGTTTTGTCAGCCCACCTAGAGAAAAACTAATTGGCATTGCCAGTCAGCATGCAGGATGGATCTGACAGCACATAAACCTAGACAACATAAATCCTTAATAAAGTGGCCCACAGTATAAGCAAAACTTTTGAGAGTGCTGCAAAGCCACAACCAGCAGTTCACTGCTATCCTTCAAAATAAATAGTAGCATACTGCTGGCACTAATATGAGGAAGAAACTTTCGAGCTCACCGAGTTGAGGACCGTGCAATGAGCCGACAAATACCATAAAAATCGGAATATAGATAGAATTTTTCTTTAAAAAAATGCTATGAAAAGTCAACCCTATATTCCGATCATTGGCAGAAAAAAATGTGGAAGTCTTGCAACAATGGACAGCTGAAGTCGAAAGCATCCATTGCTGTCGTGAGCATCAGCAGCGGCGTCGTTGGGCAAGGCTAGGCAAGGCCTACAGTGTTCCAGCAACACCATTTTGCTTCGATTATCTGCTGTCAATCTGCTGTTTTCCTTTTTCTATTTCCTTCAAAAATGAGTGGTAGTCAATAGCAGTTTGCGATAGACTTTAAGAAAAACGTTATCGGAGTAGGCCAAAACACACGACAACCTGGCGGCACAGCGGAAATTCAGTGCATCGGAGAAAAGCGTCTGATACTGGAGGAGCCAAAAGCAGTGCATCACATCCTGCAGCAACCAAAAAAAAAAGAAACTTCGTTTCATGGATGGACTGCAGGGCACCTCCATCTAGAAACGCTACTCGTCGAAGTCATCTGCGAGTTGCGTGCAAGGTCACTAACCGTGACAGAGGAGTGCAGCATCCGCGTGAAAGCTCTCGAGATAGCGTGCGACTCTGGGCTCATGAGGATGCAGTTCAAGGGATCACCATCGTGGGTGCGCCCATGTACAAAGTGGAAGGGCTTTTCACTGAGGCGGCATACTTCTATCTTTCTGCAAATGCTGCATCTACAATGCATCGGATGAAACAGAGGACGATGCACACTGGGACGTTACTAGTGAAAAGCGGGCATCGGCGGACTCAAGTTTCGACAAGTCTGAATGAAAGTACTTGGTGGCCTTCTGACGTTTACGTAAACTTGGTCTCCAAATAAAAAAGAATGTCACCACCGTGCAGCTGGTTGTGTTGCATATTTACCAAGGTAAGGGTGCGCTGCTATACTTTGCGATTTATAAAAATTTATTTTATTTTATCAGAGATTCAAATTTTAGAGGGTTGACCTATATTCCGGTTTTTACAGCAAATGACAGATGTAACATTATGAGATGGGAAGACAGCAGAAGTGATTAGCGAAAACAAGACTGAGGTATTTTAGTTGGGATAATGAGGTACACCTCTTAAGCAGGTTACATAATGCACGAAGGGGGTAGTACAAAAGCAACAGGATTGGTTCCTAGGAAAGGCGCATCGTCAAGAAGGCCAGACAATGTGGCAGCGTCGTAAGATTACGAAATTCTCCGGATATAAGCACCCGATGCGAAACAGCCGTAATCGAGGGATGCTTAGATCATTGTTTGTCTCGCACGGACACAACATAGGATGAGGACGTAGCTCACCGTTGGATTTCCCCAGCTCCATCAGACACGATATGTGGATGGGAAGACACTCCATGAGGTAGGGGTCTCTATTAAGCACCCTACAATAAAGACAACGAGGCAAGTATCAGTGCACAATCATCCGTCACAAAGTCACTTTTGCGTGGTCTGGGTACTGCCGACACATAACGAGCACGACACATGGCTTCCAGGGCTTGCACAAAAAAACATGGCTCAAAATTTGATGCAAGCACATACACGATTCTTACCGGAGCTCACTAGAAACCGCTGCTGGCACACGTTTCATTGGGACACCTAAATCATCACTGAATTCTCTCTTATTTTAGCAATTATTAAGTCTCCTCAATACCACTTCTATTTGTTAATGGCTCACACCAACCATTTATCGCAAATTTCTGTCTCACATCTTTGGAGGCTATTCAATGAAGTTCAAATGTGCCAATGTTTTGATCAAACCTGCTCAAGTTCCCCTCAACAGCAGCACAATGATTTACCTAACATTGCGTGCGCACTTCTCCTGTACCGACAGCAACTAGCTCTTGAATATTGGTGGTGCATGTGCTACATTGTGTAGCACAAGATATGTAAAGCAGATGCGCAAGCCTGTCTTCAGTTGGCCAGACACGCCACATGACACCAAGTCATTGCAATGCTGATGTGGCAAGTGGGACAAACCTGAGCACAGGACATGACTAACTCATTAGAGTGCGGCAAGAAACAAGAGGTCTCCTAGATTGTTTCAGACACAAAAAGATTAAGATGAACTCTGCTTCAAACCATAACGATGGGAACCAGTTAGATCAAACCACTGCATCAGCAATAACTGAGACTGTTTAAAAGACTTAAGTTGTTCTCAGGGTAGGAGTTCATAAGTCTGTGTGATTTATTTCAATTCCTTTTGTATAATTGTATTTGTTGAGTGCTAAATGATATGTTCCATGATGTTACACATGTATCTTTGCATTTCTGAACACCAATCCTGAAATCGTAAAACCAGATTATTCATTCAACTACTACATCATTCTCATCGAGGTCAAGTTAAGAGCTATAGTTGATATGCTTACACTTCTCAATTGACACAGCATGATTAAAAGTGCTTGGGCTCTCAAACTAGTTACCATTTTCATAACAGCATGTATATAGTAGATGAAAAAAAAAAAAGAATCATGAAGGTACTCACAAAGAAGTGATGGAATAGCAACGCTTATAGTCACAATTATAGTAGCACTTCTCAGCCACGGCTGTGGCAATGTCGAGGTTGTCGCTGAGCTTGGAAAGCTCGTTTGGAAGCTCGGAAAGGTCCGGCTTGTCATACTGGTTGTAATGTAGATAGCGAAAAGATACAAAAAACATAAAGTCATAATGTGAGCTCACTTGGCATGCCATCAAGACTAACACAAAAATATGTGCCGCATCACTTCAAGTGCATTAAGATATCAATCATGTGAGATCTCTCAACTTGAAGTTAGCACCAGGTCTCAGCCATGTTGTATGCACTACAGCTGAACTCCTTCACAAGACACATGCACCGGGGTGCAGTTCTTGTCTCTTAGATGATGTGTGTCTTATAAGCAGGGTCTGATGAGCTCATTTTCTGATCAACCTGTATTTAAATGTATGCACACTAGTGTCTTTTATACTCACTTGTTTCATACATCAGTTTCTCTTATAAAGAGGCTCTACTGTATTTTAATATGAAAAAACTCTGGCGAGGCCAAGCTCCAAGAACTCCTGAACGGCTCTTTCGAACCAAGTTTCTTACACCAATTGGGTCACCTTTTAAGAAAAAAGATGCCTCATGTTGCACAGAGCCTCTATATAAAATTTTTCAGTCAATGAAACTGAAAACACGATACTGCAATTCGAGGAGCGTGTGTGTGCAAAGCAGTGTTGTATACGGTCCTCGAAAACAGTAACAGAATCTCGTTCCTCATTCCTTTTCAATAGCGGAACGAGTTCCCGTTGTATTTAAAAAATTGGGACATGTCATTCCACTATTGTTACATTTGACTTTTTAATAAATATATATACCGTTGAACAATCCTAAGGCAAAATAAAGAGAGCAATTCAAAAGACATCAAGCTGCACATATTAAACTAATTTAACATCACTGACAGCAGGTCATAAGTAAGTAATAGAAACCTAAAGAAATGTTCCTAAATCTGTTTTTTAGAGACCATCGGCTTCACTGCAACTTTCGTGCTCATCCATTTTAAGTCCAACACATGCGACACTTCTCATGTCTGCCTTCGGAGGTACCGTCAGAGTAGTGTGCTTGAGATATTCCATAGAAATGCACCAATATAATTGAATTTCTTTCACACGAAATTACTGAAAGGAACAATGCTTAGCCGCTTAATCAGTGCGGATTCAATATTTCAGTGCGAGTAGAAAATAACGTCCAGGACATACATTCGCATCTCCTTAGCAAAGTTAGCAAACATATTTTTGTATATTTCGTTCTCCTTGAGTATTTTTCACCCTTTCTTCCTGTGTTTTTGTCATTCGTTATACATCTTTCTTTCCCAATCTCTCTCTGCATTACTTTCACCTTCTATCTTCTTTCACGATCTTCCCTATCTTTCTATTTCTCTCTTTCTGCCTCTTTCTTTTTCTCTCTCTTTCTCTGTACTACCTCTCCCCTCCGCTTTTTCCACCCTCTTACTATACTGTACAATAAAAGGCTATGCTACATTATTAGCATGAGTGCATAATGCAAAGAAATGCTGAATCAATGATTTCTTCAACATCCCACTTCACTGGGATGACTAGTCAGCCAGAATAACATATGCATTGTTGAGGTGTTTATTCTTATCATCGTTCTAGTCTACAATGACCATTATTTTATGCATTTGCTCTACATTTGAATGCGCATTCTTTACTGCTGTGTGTTCGTCGTTGGGGCGCAGTACGAGCAGAATGAACTTCTTATTTTTCAGTCTGTACTGAATTGCGGCGAAGTGTCATGCCTGTGTTGAGCAAATACTATGAAAGAAAAAGAAATTGTACAGCCAAATGCTTTTGACGCTTGCCTTCGAATTGTGGGTAAGTGGTCTCAAATCTCGCCTCACCGATATATATATATATATATTTTTTCGCCAAGAATTAATCTTTTTCTTTTTCTGTGTCTCTTTCTTTCGCTTACTCTGTGCTCATTATCTCATCGATGAGAGCTCTTGCACTTCACGGCGTACAAATAAGCGCACGTGATCTGGGAGTGAAGCAAAGCGCAAAAAGACGAGAACACACGAGGGTTCATGACGATGATAATTTTCTGCCTACAACGCACAGCCAACCTTGAGCAGAACAGCCCCACTGTAAAAAATCAACTTCTTTTTTACCCCACGAGCTAGGCATTTTTCACTCCCGTGCACCACAAATGGGTGCCTTAAAGTGAGAACCAGGATTCGTCATAGTTATGTGAAGACCCACATGGTCACCGATCCGCCCTGTTCGGCAGCGTACATGTGCCTGTTGAATGCCTTGCAAGGTTTACAAGAGGAACGCCGTTAACTCTATCATTCCTTGGTAAATGTAAAGAGCTACCATTACAGTTCCACGAATCATGAATGGAATGGTGGCATTCCTCTGTTATTCCAAAAAGGAACGTCCTTTCTTAAAATGTTGTTTCGTACAACAGTGGTGCAAAGCACCAAAGAAGAAAGAAGATGAAGCGACAAATCGTCATGGGGGCGGTGCTTGTGAGCCAAGAACAATGCAGGTGTGCGGACAACAACATTCACGCACTAACTTAACGAGCATGGTGTCTGATCGCACAAGCAAACACAAATGCATCTCGCCCACTAAGCCCAAACATTTACAAAATCACACCGAACATTTCTGTTCACTACGCTGGGGCAGTGGCTCAATCCCATAGCCGGCCCCGCTGCCACCAAAAATTGCTGCGACACTTCGCTCTGATAATTTAGGCAATGCACAAGTGAATGGGTCACATTGCAATCTCCAGAGGAGTCGCAAAGTGCATCTCAGCCCCACCCAGACCTCTTTTCCCTTTTTACCTCACTGGTGGTAGCGGGGATCACTGACCCCGCATTTGAACTGCAGTACCACATTACGGCGACGGAGCCTAGCTGCTCTGTGTGTGATCATTCATGGCATCTGTGAGACAACGTTTCCGTTAATGTGAAAAACAACCTTCACCGTTTGCCGCATCTGCAAATGCTCTTTGAGAAGGTCAGGTCCTCTCTCTCTCAATTTCCATTAGCTACATATACCAGCACAAGGTGCCTCCCTTGCCTTAGCTCAACTCAGTTGTGGAGCAGCTATCCACCCCTCCACCCCAAGGTGCCATTCATGCAAACTCAGTGATTTCTCTCCAATGGCAGACAACATAACCATTGGTCAATGTGCCTATGGAGACCGATATCACGCTCCACACAATCCCTCAAAACAGTGAGGATGATGAATCCACCTTAGTTAACACAAAGCAGGGGTCTAAAACACATAGCCCACAGGCTGCGTTTCACAAAGAATAAAAATTTACGACATTGCTAGATGGTACTAGCACCATTTATTCACCTATTGCCACCAATAGCACACTGTTTGCTCAGGTGAGCGACGCAGGCATAACAGCTCTGAGCATATTCTATATTACTTTCATTTTTTTTTTTACATAAAGCACCCTATATGGTCACAATGTGTTGATACATAACTGAAGAACAGAAACTCTATATCCCAGAATTGGTGTCTAGGTTTTAGTAATTCAGGAGATGGACATCGACGATGTGTTTTGCTAATCTTGATGCCGCAATCCCTCCCCAAATGACCAGATTACCCATGTGCAAGATATTAGAAAAGTGTTCTTTCAAATGGAAACGTCAGGTGACACGGTCAAACTAACACCCCACTCCTATCTTCTACACTGTCCCTAAATGTTGCCAACTGCAGCTCGCTAGCCAAGTTGAGTCTGAGACTCCCGAACAGCACTGCACAAAGCTATAATACTCAATCACTTATGTGTCGCTCGAATTCACGCAACAGAAAACTGCAGTAACCTTTTTCCCCCAAAGTTAGTTGCATCAAAACACAGAAACATGCTTGAATGCAAGGCATGCTGTTAAAGCACTGAGCAGCGTAACATACCTTTTTAACCTTGGTTCCATACAGAAGCCTGACGAATTCGCTGTCTTCACAAGATGCACCCATAGCCATGGTCAGCAAATTGAGGACGCTCTCCTCTGCAAATGTTCCCATGAAAAGAAACTGATATTCACACACTACTAAAACATGGCAAAACTCCAAAATGCAAATTTCTTCTCAACATTCCTTTTTTATTCCTTCTGGACAACAACAAGACTGATTTATGGTGAAATAATGTACCACACGTCACAGTGTTCACAACATGAGAGAATATTTCTTGACGTACTGTCATTTGTTTTCGTTTATTTATCGAGCTCATTTAGCCTTGCAACCTACCAGTAAGGCCTTTATGAAAATACATTCACCCCAAAACCCTATTCAACCAGATACAAATTTATCTATAGTTAAAAGGTGTTAAATGTGAAAGCATTTTTTAACGCGGTGAAAGCCTTAGATGACTCAAACCGTCTTGAAACATTTCCAGAAAATTTTCAACTACATGACTATTGGGAATCCTGGCCATAAATTCTATATACAGGGTGTCCCACATAACTTGAGCCAAGAATTTCAAAATGAAAGGCACTTCAGTGGCGAATTGAATCAAACATGTATTAGTCGCACTAGCCTGAAGATACTCAGGCTATTTTTTATTTCTCCCCATACTAATTATTAATAATTCAAATTACCTATTCTTTAAATTACGGGCTGGAAACCCAAAATATAAACACCGAGATGTAGAGCACTTTCAGAAACCACCAACTAAATTGTTTCCTGTATGATACCTCTAGCACTGTTATATTTTCCGCGTTGTAAAGAAAGCCTATAGCAGCACTATAGCAGTGCGCTCGCGGTCCATCACACGGCTTCTTTTTACATTTCACGGGCTTTCTTTACAACGTAGAAAAAATAACAGTGCGAGACGTATCGTACAGGAAACAATTTAGTCGGTGGTTTCTGAAAGTGCTCTACATCTCAGTGTTCGTATTTTGGATTTCCAGCCCATAACTAAAAAATTAGGCAATTAAGAATTATTATTACATTAATATTGGGAAAAATAAAAAATTGCCTGAGTAACTACAGGCTAGTGCGAGTAGTATGCGTTTGGTTCAATTCGCCTCCTAAGTGACTTTTACTTTCAGATTCTTGGCTCAAGTTATGTGAGACACCCTGTGTACCTAGACTCGTTTCATAGTCTGGGTTTACTTAATACCTAAAAAAACACAATTTCAATTTCCCAGCCCACTCTACAGCTTACGTCATCTCGAGTCGGGCAATCAAATATCTCTGTCGTGGATAAAAGAAGGCAACGCAGCAAGGCCTGCTGAGCCATAGTTGACCCGAGGTTTGGAGCCTCATACTGTTCCAGCTGTTGTGCTCTAAAGATGTCACACGCGCAAACCGTGCCAACCAGCTGACACTAATGCACACGAGGACGATTTGATTGCCGTGCAAAATCGCAAAACGAGCCTTTACCGCATGTGCCCACATCCATCACCGTGAACCAAAAAGGCCCAGACAACCACGCCATCCATCAGAAAATGCTAGAAGATGGTGCAGGTGCCGTACAGACACTTCTCCTTTCTGAACTGGGTTTGAAATGCAGTCACCTTTTGGCTTTAAGCACCACTGTGAGCTAAAAAATTGCTAAAATATTTTATTACTTTCTAGTTTTCATAGAAGTTTATTATTTTAGAATGAGCAAATGTTAACAATACATTTACTGTTTCGAATGTCGAGGCAGCGTCCCCTCACTGATGCCTATGGCAGCCGGCTGCATTAAACTGTCATTTTGAATTACGAAAATTCTAAGATCTCAAAGGGGCGTGATTAGATATTGACTTATTATTGTGCCAAAATATTACAGGAATCAGCATGCCTGATGCTTGTTGAGGTAGTAAAGATTACTGTCGGGCAGCTTCATTTTCATTTCGCGGTCCCCCTAAATAAAAAACTGACTTGCAATCCACGCTGGTGGTGTCAACACGAGCGATGCAAATATACACATTACATAGGGCAGAAGCGGGCTTCAGTCTTTTGGAGCAGCTTTGGGAGCAGGAATAACACGGTTTTGGAGCAGCTTCGGAGCAGTAAAAGGGAAATTTTAAAGCAGCTCTTGAGCTTGAAAAGCCGTGTTTTGGAGCATCAAAATTTAGTTTTGGAGCAGACTTCTTGGGTCACACATCACTGTTAATTAGAATTTTCGTTTTCTCTTTGCTTTCTCATCAACACAAAAAAATTCAGTGGTATTTACTAAGCATCTATGCTGATCAAGCGACCAGACTTACCCCTAATTGATATATATATATTAAACCTTACAACAATAACATTGAAAGCACAACAACTCAGACTAGAGATGAACTAATATATTAAAGGTTATCTTCACACTACACCAATAAGGCTCCATAAAAATAAATGTAAAGAAGTTATCTACCGGTGATTGAAGTGCCACAGTCGACATGAAAACCGCGAAGAAACTTAGATGGGCTTGCCACGCCACTGCTAGGCAATTAAGTGATTTTTCTTCTTTATTAGGATAGGAACTACATGGGCAGTCGACGGGTTTTCGCCTTCGCCCCCATGTTCCGTGTAAACTACAAGTTCGTAACATTCCCCGCACATCATACGTTCTACCGGCGTGCATAAAGTTGCACGAGTTGGGAGGGTGCGCGCTGCACAAGCAGAGATTAAATGAGGCGGCCGATCTCCATCGCTTGGAAGTGACGGCGCACGCGATACTAGACCTACCGCACGCGTGTTAGACCTACCGTCGAATGCTCAAGCAGAGAGGAAACACACTGCCCGTCTTGAACGAGCATAAAAAAATACGGGGAGTAAAAGGTGGGGGCGGGGGGGGGGGGGGGGGTAGCTCGAGCAGCAGTGGTGAACCATAGAGAAACATACTTACATAAACAGTGGACACTCTCGTACGGCCCTACGGCCCAGCACTGCTTTCAGCGCCACGAGTGGTTCGTCAGACCCGATAATGTCTTTAGCATAAATAAAATAACAAAATTTTTTTCTTCCTGACGCTGGGATTTGAACTCCTACCCTCACGCTCCAAAAGCACGTGTCTTTACCAGTAGGCTACGCACCCATGCTTCCACAAAAGGAATACATGTACAGTACATCTAAACCACATGAATGTGCCTCTTTGTGCAAAAAAATGCAGAAAGACAACGCTTTCTAGTCATACTTGACTGTTTTCTATTGCAAGGCATTAAACAACCTGAGTGAGATATGATGTAGAGTGGATACGGAGAATCGCTCAAATTAATGAAATTTCATCTTTGCAAAAAATTGATGCTAATCTTTGGCATTAATTGTCCCCCTGAGGAGGCTATTACATGTCTTAAAAAAGGAGTAAAAGCGAGGGTGGGTGAGTAATCTAGCGGTCAGACCCTTTCTTGCTGGGCCACGAAAAGGCTCCAGTGGCCACTCTATATATAGTTGTTCTCTATGGATGAACTTTGATTTTAAGGGCCTGGTTGTGATAAGGTGGCCCGCCCTCTATCCATAAGCATCATCGCGCAGCTCGTAAACAGTTCTACATGAAGCCCTCTCTACGAAAAGAGATTGTGCCATAAGAGCGTTTCTCCCTGGAGCGGTCGTACGTCCTTTCTTACACTAGCTTTTTGCAGAGTGTCGCGATGTCGGGTTCAAAAGCGTTAGCTTTCAACCTTCGTACTGTCATGGGGTCGTGAGGTTGACGAAGGCAGCAGCCGCTGTTTTTATGAATGAACCTTATTTGGGCGAACCTGTGCCCGGAAAACGAAACGTCACGCTACAAGCAATACAAGCTGTAAACTAATAGCTGCAAACCAGAGTGTCGACCATCGATAATCTGCCGAACAGCAAAGTGCGTCGGCATTTACACATGTGCCATTGAAGATTGCCGCGTTACCGCTAGCGGCTGCGTAAGTTCCAGAACAAACTCTAAGGTACACGTTGTGTGCTTAATCTCACCAGAAGGTTATAAGATTATCTAGATTTTTCCCAGTCATTTGGGAGAGAATTGCACAAGGCAGCATTACACGCCTAATGGTGCGGTAGCAAAAATAGAAAGTGCGTGCAGCATTACCATTACAAACTTTTGCTATTACCGTCATCACTTCACCAGTGAAACTGACGTTTTTTTTTGTTTGTTTTTTTTTCAGTTTATACGGTTTGGCTAACAGCTTTGCTGTTAAAACATATATAGACTCGCATAATGAGGTATGCACACGAACACCACCTTAACAAGATTCATGCATGAACCGAAATACGACGTCACCGAACTAATTTGATATGGACACAGTTGCGCCCTTTGTGTAGCCCACACGTGTTGCTTTGATGATAAAACACGACTGAATTTGGCATTGCACATGCAAATTACCATTTAGGCGCCGTTTGGCCCAGCAGGTCAGATTGGCGCAGAATGGCGCAAAAGGCGAAGCACTTCCACCCCTAGTTACATGACGTCACTACATATCATCATTATGTCACAGATCACCAAAATTTGTGATGTCGTTATGATATTTTTACGGGGGTGAGAGTATGAAAACAAAAAATACTTTTACAAGATATACAACGACTAGAAACAGCTGCAGCCGAGACGACGGCGAAATAGCAACAACGCTAGCGCAATCCCACTCGTCTTTGTCTGTCTGGTGTAATATGTACAACCAACTCTGGCCCTTCTTTCTGTCTGTCGGGTGGCTTCTTGTTCCCAATGGCATGTAACATTTATACCCCGCCCCGCCGCCAGTAGCACCGTCACGGCACTTAAGAGAGCACGTATCAGAGCATAAGGGACCCTGCAAGTTCTATTGCTTACATATAACATTTTCCCATTTATTTGACCTTAAAGAAGTACCAGTCAGACAGACCTCTTTTCTAACAGCACCTATGATGTCACAACAGCTTAGCTCTTTAGCCAATCGATAATACAACAGTGCCTAAAGGTAACTTTAATGCCACAATGATGGAACTTAATGCAAAACTAACTCCAACAGCTCCTCCAGGCTGGCTATCTGTCTAGAGCTCTTTTGTGACCACTTCATGTAACTTTTGAAAGATAACTGTAGTCAGAGTAAATAACTCCATTTGGAAGAGATTGGAGAGAGATTAAGGAACAGAAACTAGAAAGCAGACATAGGAGAGTAGAGGAAGCTGGCTAAAACTACAATTGACATTAAGGGGCTCTGTGCGTCCGGACTGAGCACTGCAAATGAGCAACCACTGGGCAACAATTCATAGGTGAAGATTGCGCCTGTAGAAGCACCTGTGTAGCTTGAAAGTGATCAAAACAGATAACAGGAAGTCGTGTGCACTCTCTTTTGAGGGAATGTGATTACAGCGGAACTCGCAGGTATCCACACCTACATAACAACTGCTCCTTAAAAACGCCCCCACCGATGGCTAATAAATTTGGTTTTTCCGTGCGGTGCAGTACATGCAACCATGCCTGAAAATTATAACATGCAGAACTTCGACAGTGCAAGGTTTCTGAAATAGGCTTTCTAGTTTTCCATCGTTCTGAGAAAAGAGCACAAATGATAAGATGTGCGAAAGGGACAAAACAATGCACCTGTTGTGTGTTCTATTTCAATGATTCCATGATCTGCCGAGTTTCCCAGAAGAGTTTTGCTATCATAAGAATGAAAATAATTTGTCTTAATTTGTTACGATTAGAAAAACCTCGTAAACTGAAAAAAATGCAACTAAGCAAAGTACTTTTTTTAGCACATACTTTCTTTTATGGATTCTTTCAAGAGCAAATAATTATTAAGAAATAAGACTTGAATATAGATGAAATCATTGTGTAGTTTGGAAGCAGTTTTTATTATCATTATGTATTTCCATCAGCTATTTCAGGTTTCAGACAACAAAAACTAAGATTCCAACCTAGAATTTTTTTTTTATAAATAATACGCACGATTTACCTCCGGAGCTTCATAAGAATAGAAAACCTCAAACATCCCAAAAAGTGTGGTCGATGTTTTCATTTGTTATTTACATGGTATGACTCTACTCTCAACAGAATATACGAAGCAGGATGTTGATGATAAATGCTGACTTAAACAGAATAAACAAAAGACAAGGTGTTCAACCAGGATAATGCACTGCCAGTGCCCTCAATTTACACTTGGCCTGTTTAACTCTGTATGCACTAGGTACGTACCATGCCTATAAAGGATACCAAACTACACATGGAATCATACTAGTTTTGAGCAGCGGAGCGCACGGCTGCAGTCGCTGTTGGCAAGTGCACCGGCTACATCGCATAGCCACAATATTTCATTCAAGCTCGAATTATAGCGCAAAGTCCTAGCATGCGGTGTGGCTACATTTGGTACCATTGCAGTGCTGTGCTCTGCAAATTACCGATTGCAATAAACCGCGGCTGACACGGTCGGCTGGATGCTTTAGAACAGAGTGATTCCGATTGTGCAATCACACAGAAATTTTCACTTGCCTTCCTCTCGAGAAAGCATCTGATGCTTAACAAGAGCTTCAAATGCTTCATAGCAGTGAATGTCAAGGGCTAGTGCTTTCTTGTAGCATTCGGCAGCCACCGAGCGGTTCTCAATAGCCTCGTTCGCCTTTCCTTTGAGAAGGTGCAGTGAAGCCTCCAACTGCATACAGAGAGAATCATGTGGACATATGCCTATAAAAAAAATAATAAATGGTGAAAAAAAAAATAATTCTGATTCCATACTCTCTGCAAACTAATTCAACTTTGAAGTAGATATACACTGCAATAAATGTGCCTTGTCACCAAGCCAAGACTGCAGAGAAGCCCAACAGCCACCAACGGCATTCACACTTTAGAACGGCTGCACCGACTACTCACATGATATAATGCGAAGAAACATTAATTATTAGCAGAGAAAACTTGCGCTTCTAACTGAAGCCTGATAGTTCCCCAGCCAAGCACAAAAAGAAATAGCCAATGAGGTCAAAGGTATTTCAAAAGAATGACGCATGTGAAGGCATTTTGATGTACTTACTGCGGTGTGAACAATCTGGCAGCATTTCTTGTCTTGTAGCACACCACACTAGCAAAAAGCTTTGCCAAACACATTCGTAATGATAGCACTAACCACTGTGCCTAAACGTGAATTTGTTATGCATTTAAAGGGATACTGAAAAAAAAAAACTTCTTTTCTCAAATTAGTAAATTGCTCTTGCACAATGCCACACTCACTATGCTTACCACGAGAAGAGGTGCGGTCAGCGAGAAAACATGCAAAAACAAGATGCGGGCGGCGATGCCACCTTTAAGCTCCCACACCAATCCGCCATGAAGTCAAGAGACCATGATGACGTTTCCTAGAGCCTACGCAATTCCAAATTGGCAAAAACGAAGTACATTGACATCTAGGGGGGCTATAGACATAGCATAACAAGTTTCAAATAGCTTCATTGAGTCAATGCTACCTACATAAGACAAATGAACTGAAATTGACATAACGTGGGGAGATTACATTGAGAAATTTAAAAATGTGACTTCGAGCTCGACTTTCTGAAATTAAGTAGAGTAGTGTTTTCAGAGTAAAATTTTTCACTCGTTCACTGTTGAACTTTAGTATCTCTTAAACAGATGGGTTGCTATGTTCACAAAAGGCGGCGATTCGCACATGCCCTGGTGGAGTAAGCAGTCGAGAACACATATGCCCGAGACTACTTCACGACTACTTCGTCGCACTGCTTATATTAGCTCTTCAATGACATTGTCACACATATTAACACATGCCAAGCCAAAGCAACCTCACCAGCTTGCTCCAGGCATGGTTTTGAACTGCTTGCTACATTTAAGATGTTGCCTCAGCTCCATGAAACTGTGCTTCGACAATAACAATAATATCTGGGATTTTTGTGTCTCAAAACCACAATATGACGAGAGATGCCTTAGTGGAGTGCTCCAGTAATTTTGGCCATCTGGTGTTCCTTAAGGTGCCCTGACATTGCACAGTACACAGGCCTCTACCATTTTGCCTCCATCGAAATGTGACTGCCGCAGCTTGGATTGAAACCGCGACCTACGGGTCAGCAGCCGAACCCCTAGCCCCTGAACCGCCGAGGAGGACTAAAGCACTGTTTCAAAGCACTATCACTTTCACAGGTTAGTTGGTCTTTTTACTTCAATTTTACAGCACTTACTTGAATAGCATTCCCCCAGGATGAAAAGGCCACCTGAAGCAACACACTGCCTTATTGTAGTACAGAAAAGTGAGAGTCATGTGTGTGTGTGTTTTTTTCATTGTGCAAATATTGCTCGTACTGAAAAAGGCCTGAAGTGCTCATGATTACAATCAGCAAAACAATATTCCTTTTCTAAGATGGTTATCACTATTTTGAATGCACTGCCATTAATAGAGGCACATTTTAACAGAAAGCAGCACCACAAAGCTTCTCTAATTTGGCCTTAGTGACAACAAGTAAACTAGTGCCATTAAAATCTGTGCAGGCCTGCTATATGAATATTTTTAAACTTTGTATTGCCAAGCACCATCTAAGAATATCCTAAAAGCCTGTCCAATTCGCTCTGCACTTCATCTAGTTCACTTAAGCTCCGTGCCGGTTTCGTGTTCAAGCAGATCTAACCAGACACCTTTTGCCCAACTACCTACTTACTGCACCATACAGACAAATTGTGAGCTCTAGATAACATTGTGCTGCATCTGCGAAACAAATAGCGAAGCAGCCTTCGAACTTGTTCAAGAATTGCAGGCAATTCAAAGGAACCCCGCCTCTATGCCTCTCTGAGGGTCCCCAAAAACAAAATAGTGCAACTGAGTGTGTATTGGTAAACAATTACATCTATTTAATAGCAAGACACACATACTAAAACACAGCCATTTCTGAGCGCCCTTTTCTAAGACACAAATGGAGAACTAAACTTAAATACCCAGTTCAATAAATTAAGGTCCACAAGTTCTAACTGATATAAGAACTGATGCGCATATGTAGCTTCAAAAGCGTCACAGTTTGTCCACTGTCTACTATATTTGAATGCATAATGTCTTCATACATACAGGACGCTGTTTAAGATGCGTTTAAGACAAATTATGCACATTGCGAATTTATCAATGTTGACTATTTGCACTAATTCTTTTCAGTACAATGCACTACGCATAGCTGTAGGGCCATTGTCAGGCCGTCTTTTTTTGCCATCAGCTATACTTCCCCAGACCTGCTATGCGCTGGAATGAGTGAATAAAAAATAATTAACATTCTATTTCGCTCGTCCATTAGAAGCTGCGACACTGACGTTCCAATCATTCATGCAAACAAGGTGTATAAATCTTGTCAAGAAGTGAGAGTAAGACATACCCATAAGCATGTATAAGCTGTTCTGCATGTGCTGAGCCCAGAACAAAAGAAACAAGTCAGTGCATTCTTATCAATTTACCCGGTGCTGTGAACCAGAGTCGTCGCCCTTGCCCTCGGGATGACAGGGTTCCAAGAGCGGTGCTTCCGAGATTTCTATTGCCTCTTTGTACTCCTTGCCTGCAAGCTGGACATATATTACTACTCTAGAGTAGACATAACGAGCATACACCGTTAAAAAACAGGTTCTTTTCAAGAGACAGATTATTCACACAAAAAGCAAATACTCCCACTCCATGGTCAATAAACAGCTATGATGATCAGTTGGTTTTTGCGGTGCAAGAACCATGTGTGGTCAAAGAATTCCATGCCATTAGGCGGTGCAAGTAATGAAAAATGATTACGATGATAGTACGCAACATGGCTGAAAAGTAGCCTAAACACAGGCTGTATGGAAGCATAAGAGATGTGCTCAACAAACTTATTGGCAGAGATAAGTGTAGTGATCTATGGGTAATAAGTGAAGACAGGTGATTGTGATTTCAACTACCGCGAGAGATAAGGTAAATAGCGTGAATGCCCCATTAAGACCTTTTAACGCAAAGGCCAGGAAACCAGTATTTTCTTTTATTAGCAGCTATGACATTGCCCTAACAAGCATTTGAGTGCTGGTTTGATTACAGGACATGGCAACCCCAGAATAGCAAAGAAAGTCTAGAGTGTATCCCAACAGGGAGAGTGTTCGGAACAGCCACAGCATCAATGTACAAAAAGTGAAGTCGCAAGAGTGCTAATTCACTTATTAAAATTGTTTATTTGCCAACTTTACCAAGTTTGATGATTTGTTTGAGTTTGATAGTTGATGTCTCTGTTATCAGCAGCCAGCAATGTGCAGTTTACGGGTCGCAAGCGGCACTGATGAAGTGGCGCAGAGGTTGAATGCCCGCTTCCCAGCTAAAAAAAACCCGCGTTCAAGTTGCTGCTGTTCATGGGGGGTTATTGTTGACGCCCCTTGTTACAGCTCTATTTGTATGCTTTAATTCTTGAAACTGGCTTCTACTACAATGCATTGCTATAAAAGTAACATGAACTGGGAAGTAAGATACAAGAAATCTCATTGAGCAAAAATTTTGGCAATGCCACCGCACGGGATTCAACAAGAAGCCAAAGCGCATGGTAAGCGCACGAGCTAAAGGCCTTTTATTCAACTGCTTGAAAAGAAACTTCATCAAATTGAGTCTCTGCAATCTGGCTTTGTTTTTTAGATCATCCAAACCTTCACTGTTTCCCAATGACCGAGCGTCGACACCACCAGTTCATCTTCTGCTGCGTAGCAACAGTCGGCAACCAATATACACATAGTGAACACATACAGGCTGTCTTCTATATACAAAACTCGGACGTCACGCCTTGTTTTACGTTTTTATTGAATCTCACGCAGTAGAGATCAAAATATTTGTGTTAACTGTCAAATCACTTGTGTTTCATGTTATTTTGTGTAAAATAAGGAGCAACTGAAGCTAGTTTTGAGAAACAAAAGGAACAAGAACAAAAGTAACACCAAAAATAAAACGACACTATGCGTAGATGCAACTTGAACCAGAGTTTTTTTAGTCGGAAGCAGGCATCCTAGCTCTACACCCATCTTGATAGAGCCGTGCGCTTGTTAAGACAACGGAGCAGACTAATAATCGCAGCACCACAAGCAGCTTGACCCTGTGTAGGCTCTACTTTACCAGACCCGTTCTAAGCACTCTCCTATTCCAGCGCACTCTGGCAAGGCTTTCTTTGCGAACAACTCCTGGTTCTCACGTCCCATCTCTTGCTAAGCTAATCTTGCCGATTGATCTAGAAATCAAGCTTCTGACAGCTCCATCCTCAGAAAACCAAACTGCCCCTTCAATTCTTGCAAAGATAGTCGTGTTCAAAGGTGCCTCACAGCTTTTTCCATCATGGAACGGAATAGAAACTAAAGTAGCGAGCCACCCAGAGAAAGAACTTTTATTTACTGCGCAATGAAGCTTCTGTCTATCTAAACTACATTCAGGTATGCTGTATCTTCTGTTTGCCTCCCCCCCCCCCCTTTTTTTTTTCTTTTACGGACTACAATCTGACAAACCGTGCGTCTTTCCACTGCAATGAGGCATGAGAACTTACTCTGCTGGACACGGCCAATATCTTGAAATTCAGACTTGCCTGCAGAATGAAAAGAAGGAGAGGGACGACTATTTCATCTTGCTGTGCTTTGCGAACTTCACGTGCGAGCAACTGTTGAAAAACACTCACCTTGTGCAGGTTTCTACTTTCGATGCAGTGCGCTGCTCTGTGGTACTGCTTCGTCAGGTAGAGACAGTGGGCCATAGTGTAAATATCATCGGCGTTTTCTGCGGAAGCAAGCACAACAATCGGCGATTATGACTTAATTAGGCAATGTGAGGAGAAAAAATATAGATAGTAAAGTAGTGCGACGCTTGCAAGAACGCTAAAAGAAACACCGAATTGTTTACCTCCTGACATCGATGCGAGCTTGTCAGCCCAGAACAGCGCTGTTGTGTACTGGTGCTGCGTAATAATGCGTCATGATCAGTTCCGTCTTGGTTCGCATCAAGTCGTGCGTAACGAGAGACCAGTAAGCTAGAGTGCGTGGAAAACATTTTAGCTCCATTGAACGTATGAAAATAAAACCGCCTCTACCGCGCGATTCAAGCGCCTTTATTTTTAGTTCACAAACAGGGCTAGACTGAGATAATTTGATTGCGCGCGGCCACTTGAGGGCAGAATCTAGCGAACAAAACCACTACTCTAAATCAGCCCCGGTTTCGTGCCTGAGTGAAAACGAGCGCACGGCAAATGAATGACAGCGGTGCGGAACACATGAACGCCGCGTACATGGGACAACTGCAAGTAACAGAATTAATTTTTTACCTTGTCTATGTACCACTGGACCATTTTCCTGTATCGTTCGAAATCGATTTGCTGACTGCCAGAGCGCATGAGCAGGCTGTCAGTGCACGCATCGTATTTTAAATGACCCTCGTCCGCCATTTCTAAAGTTTCAGAGCGGAGCGCATGGTTGCCAGGTCAAAAAAACAAGAAGTAGCCAGTTTGAGCCAGGAGCATTAAAAGTATCCAAAAGTAGCCATGCCCAAGAAAAACTGTAACGTTCTCATTTAAATGTCTGCATTTTAAATCATTTAGTTAAAACGTGGAAATAAGCATAGCTAAAACCCTCACGAATAGTAATAGCCAAGTGAAAGCATAAATTGTTGACCTAAAGAAGTAGTGTGAGGAAATTGAAACATGTTTGTCTTTTTTTTTTGTCTTGTTCCTCTTGTTGCGCTAAATAAAAGCATATGTGTTGAGCACACTAAAAACTGCATTGTAATGCTTGGGAATGCATTAGTATTACTGCCTTACAAAAATCACTTTTGGTTTTGGTACCGAGACGGCGGCTTTACAGTGACGTGTCAACGCTATTACTTACATAAGCAACGATAAGCGGCTCTGACAGCGGTTTCTTCGTGAACTAGTCTCTTTACTGACGACGCGGTGTACTTACGATAACGCTGGTGCTTACTTGTTGATGTGGTCGGGGGTCCACCGGAACGGAGCCAGCCATGTCTCAGGGAGATGTTGAGCAGAGGAGTAGCCGGTGCTGATAACAGAAGCGTTTATTTACAGTATTTTGCATACTGATGCTATAGCATCATGATGGTGGTAGCATCAAGGAAGCTCTCGATGGAAGCATGCTGGGAATTGCGGGGAGCTCTTCTGGAGCTTCTCGACGCCTTCTAAGCCCTGATCTTCCCAAGTTTCCCAGCGGGAGAAAGCGATTGAGTCCAGGACAGTGCAAAATATATTCTGACTCTAAAGGAGCGCTACAAATCATTAAGAATTTTTATTTTCATATAAATGATAGCATGATGTATGAAATCTTAAAAACGTTTATCATCGGTCATCGGGAAAGCCACAAGATGTGTTTTCAGTGGCTTTGAAGTCACGTACACAGGAGTGACAGGAAACAAAATTGCTATCCAATTATAGCCACTGCAGCCCGCAAAAATGTTCACTAATTGACACCAGCACCCGTTTATTTCTCAGAAAGCAAGAAGTTTTTTTTTATTCGAAACTGCGCCAAAAATTATGCAAGGATGCTTAATTTAAGTAAAATACAAAATACATGAACTGGACTATGCCCATATACTGTGCTCATTCATGCGCTATAAGCCCTAATGTATATAGTATGTACATAGTGCCTCTGATTGGTTTTTCTTTTATACTTCACTTCTCGTGTTTTTTTTTTTTTTGTTTATCTTGTACATTATCGCATGACGTTGGGCTAGCCGGCTCTAACGTAGCCTACTTTATTCACGAATTTCGCCAAATATAAATAAAAAAATAATGTGATAACACGCACAACACGGCACATTGCAATTGGTGCAAAAACAGGGTGCACTTAGTGACGACTAACTGTCTAATCAGGTGCAGCGACCGATGCTGTCTGCAGCGCCGGGCAGGCCGCAGCTTATGGGCAACGAAGACATGATCAAGTACATTGGTAAAATGTACCCGAAGACGGATCCCAAGCGCTTAGCTCATTGTCCGGTGCAACTTGACGAACAAAGCAATGCAGAGGCCACCATTTCTAAGAAATGGAATCGAAGAAAAACCCTTTGTAACCCATGAAGTGTACGATTCCACGCACGTTAAGCATTGCCAGATGGTCGAATTTTCCGAAACCTTCCACAGCGGCGTGCCTCATAGCCACATCGTGGTTTTGGGACGCAATGTCCGAGACATTCTCGTTAATGCCAACACATTGCAATGGACTGAGCAATAACTTATTAATCCCAGCATGAACGTATATAGTGTGCAGCTATTCATGAGGGTGCTGCTTATAATTAAACGAGCACACCTGAATTGTCCAAGGTGAATGCATAATGGACTTAACATGTACTCAGAGTGTTAAGGTCTCATTTCAGTGCAAGCTATCAGCTGCACATGGCGAAGGATAAAGCAACATGACAGATTATTATTCTGTGCACTTTGACAATAGCTGAGCTGCTTCCCTCTTTATGGATCAGGCCGTTGCTCCTATCAAAATGCGAGAATTTTTGGGGCCGCCTTTGCTGGTTGTCTTCCGCCGAACATGGCTCGTACCCAATGGAGGGAATTTGCCGAGTATAAGGTGAATTTTCCCGGGTACTTTCCGCATTGCTTCCTTCAAAAGACCGCTAGTTAATTATGATCTGAAGTGACGATTGCGAATTTGAAAATATCACCGTGTTATCTATCGGCGGTTGTTCAAAAGAAAAACAGCAAAAACAATGAGAAAAAGATGGAAGATGAGAATGGCGAGCAAGAACAACAAGATGGGGAAGATGAAGAATGAAAGGAACAGGGAAAGAGAATATGAACAAGAGGATGAAGAATAAGCTTTATTTCAGAAGACAATACGCGTGGCCCAATCGCGTAGCATATATGGTGTGTATTCCCCCCCCCCCAATAGCTTCCCCCCGCACAACCGCAGAGCGTACTAGAATTAGTACACTCTTGCCGTGGTATGTGGTCGTATGTCGTGGCCCGTGGGCCGTGGCTCGCCGGACCAACGTTACTAAAAAGTATCTAGTAACGTTGCGCCGGACATGGTCTAGGGTTGCCAGCAGGCTTATTGAGTTGAGCCGTGCTTTCCAATTTGAATTCCAAGGCAAAGCTGTCGGGGTTTGTTTCGCAAGTCCTGGTGAAACCACTTTGGATGAATGGTCGGTTCAAGTACTGTGTTATGTGAGCAAATGTCACTCAAACCAACAAGTGCACCTCATCTATGCCGTCCACGTGGTCACTTGTAAAAACTCGACACTGTAACAACAAGCGTTTCTGTTATTTTTCTTTAAGGAAATAAAGAATTCGTCAATAAGCGCTACACTGCGCAAGCACCAGCGTAGCTAGTGAAGTTTTCTTGGCCGTCCGCACCAATCACACGTGTCTCGGCCAGCTTCCCGAGTGGAGGCCAGGGACTGCTGTCGGCCAAAGGGGGCACCGTGCTGGGCAGGTCAAGTAAAAGTCATGGTTAGTAATGCAGAAACTAACGTATACAGTGAAACTCGATTGCGGCGCTAGGATAAGCACAAAGGCAACTGACCGATGTCCGAAGAAATGATGGGTTTAATCCTGCCCGAAAGTGCGATGATAAATCGCTGCATACCAGAAAAAGTATATTTATAATTAATGAAACGAAGTTTTATACAGCCACGCTAAAGGAAGATATGGTGGGACTATGTACACAAAAGGCAGTCATCATCAACAGATATCAGGCAGAGAAAGTCAGCAAATTTATACTCGCCACTGGACTACTAAAAATAAAGGGACTGTCTACCACTCGGAAAAAAAAAATGTCTGTGAGAAAATCTCTTATCACATCGGTGGCAGCGCGCATGATTTTGTACCATAAGAAAAGAATTTTAATTTTAAAATTGATGTTGAAAGTCGACAAGAAATGACCGCTACCGCACCTAACAGCGATGTGGTCAATCTACTCGTAGGACAAGAAATCCTCACAGGTTGACTCTTGCTATGAAAAAGAACATGTATAACTTGGAATTTGGTATTTTATGGATGTGCCATAGAGTAATGTTTGCTTTTTTTTCTTCTCACGCGTTCATAGAGGTGCCCGGTGGCACTGCCGGTGGTGTGTTCACTGGCCTGCATGCATGCCCGCAAACGGCGGAGAAACGTAAGCACGGCCGTCCGCCGCCGCTCAAAAAAACAAAAAACAAAAAAAGAAGTGTGTACATGCCTTAACCGACCACTAAGGCATTTGTTTTATTAATAAACAAATCTTGATGAAGCCTGCAAGAACCGCACGCGGTTTCAGTTTACGACTTTCACCGGCAGCACCACTGTTATTGACTCCGCCGACAAGTGTTCTGGGCATTCATCTTACCGATAGAAGGAGACTAAACGTAGAACGAAAAATTCAGTTTTAAAATTTTCTAAACACTTTTGAGAGAAACCGCTATAGGGTTAAACACTTCAGATGGCAGGCTTTTTATTGCGACACAAAACAGAAAGCAGTGAAAGACGGTAGACAGTCTCTTTAATGAGAAAGACAAAAAAATTAAGAAAGACTGAATAACCACCGTATTTATCTAGTGATATGGCACGTTTAGGTTTCCCCGTTAATTAAACTACATGTACTGCATTGTCATTAGGAGCAGCGATGGCGTAGGGGTTAGAGCATCCGGCTCGCATGCAAAATGTCAGTAATTCAAATCCCGGTGCCGCGCAGTTACCAAACGCATTAAAAAAAAAATCCGCGTGGTGATGGAACTACATTAGGAGGCCTGGGGTGCAGCCTCACCGGTGAAACACCGCCGGGAACGCACTCCCTCACCAGAGAATGATTGGCCACCCTGGTGTAGTATCTGGCCACTACCTCCCACATGCACACGTCAAATAACTCACGGCCCTCAGTCCCCAGCAGCTGCGAAGCAACTGACTACGGCGGTGGTCAGATCTGCAACGAAGCAAAGGGTGCTAAGAATCTCTGGATCCGGACAGGCCGCCATTCGAACCTGAACTTGGCAACGTTTAATGCTAGAACCTTATCTAGTGAGGGAAGTCTAACTGTACTCCTCGAAGAGCTAGAGGGTGTTAAATGGGATATAATAGGGCTCAGTGAGGTTAGGAGGACAGATGAGGCCTATACGGTGCTACAGAATGGACACGTCCTTTGCTATCGGGGCTTAGCTGACAGAAGAGAACTGGGAGTGGGGCTCCTAATTCACAGAAACATAGCTGGCAACATAGAGGAATACTATATCATTAGTGAACGGGTGGTAGGTATCGTAATTAAACTGAATAAAAGATACAAGATGAAGGTGGTACAGGCTTACGCGCCTACATCCAGCCGTGATGACGCTTCAGTTGAAAGCTTCTATGAAGACGTGGAATCGGCAATGAGTAAGGTAAAAACACAGTATACAATACTAATGGGAAACTTTAATGCAAAGGTAAGGAAGAAGTAGGCTGGAGACCAGGCAGTA